CACGATAATTTTTTAAGAATATTCTTACAAATGAAAAATCGCCTAAAAATATCACTTTTAATTACAAAATTATCAATTTCCAAACATATATATGTTAGATATGATATTATACGTAATATAAGCTTCAATTTAAGGTAAAATTAAACCACAAACGCTTCGCAAAACGTTTTAAATTAAAGTGTTCTTTATAAAACTAAACTGCCTTTAATTAAATGGCTTTATCGATAATCTTTGAGTTTGCAATAAAATGATTTCAAATTCTCGCATGCATGCAAATAACTTTGCTTTCTTTTTTTATTTAAAAAGTTCAATATAATAAAAAGGGCCGGGGTCAATATTAATAATACACTGAAATTATATGCTGTCTTGTTTAGTTGTTTCATATACGCAAAGGGCCAAAGGCCGTCTTAAAGGGTTTTAAAGCAATTATAAATTAAATCAATATTTAAAACAAATTTACCTTCGTTAACGTCGGCTCCCTTCTTTTATAGTCGATTCTTTCCGCCTTTCTTTCTTGAAATTTACAAAATCTTGCAAAAATGCGAGCAAAAATGAAATATATTTGCAAGAAATTTATCAATCATCAAATCAAGAAATGTTTGCTATTTCGCTGTCGTCATGCAGTCGTTATAATGCTAACTTTTAATTGGACCAATCACAGTGTTCGCTATTCATGACAGTCCACCATGTTTTTGAGATCAGTGAGGATGACCACCCACGCACAGTGAGCCACGCCCGCGATCATTGGTGAACTTTAGACTTCGCTAATGCTTTCGTTTCCCCGGGTGTAAATAGCCGGGGTGAATTAGTACCCTCGCACGGCGCTTCGCGCCGTCGGCTCGGGGATAAACTATCCATCTATTAAACGGCCACCTCTATTAAGCGACCGCGGCCACCCAAAGAGCGGACCCAAATGATGTTTTATGTCAATTTTTACCTCTATTTAGCGGCCAGCCTGCTAAATAGAGGTAAAAATGCCTGCTGCTGGATTTACTCGGCGCAACACCTTGTCAAGAGAGCCGCAAATAAATGTCAAGCTAATTTGCTTTATTTGTAAAATAATGCTATAATGCTTAAAAATTATGTTTTAACACATGCCACTTTCCACCTCAAACGCATTGTCTGTAGTAAAAGTGTCAGTGTTTGGCGCCCTGATATTTATAAAGTCGACTCACTATTACTCTGTGATTTATAACTAAAATAGACATTTAACTACGCCCAGGATCTATTATTTGCGTACCTCTATTTAGAGACCACCTCTATTAAGCGGCCACAAAGCCGATCCGCGAGGGTGGCCGCTTAATAGAGGTTCGACTGTATTATCAATAAAATGTTAAAACGGAGCTTTGATTGACTGATTTACCATTTATACTAGTGAACTATTAAACTATCGTGATTTACACGATTTTAGCATATTTACCAGACGATGCCCTATCCACCGACCCGAGGTTAACGCCTAGCGGTCGTCTTGTTGATTATACTTTAGTAAAGAGATTGAATTAAAAAAATATATAACTATGAACTGCCTCACCATCAAATAATTCCGCAAAGTGCAAAAATTAAAGTGTTGTAAACTAAAGTTTTCAGTAGAGACAAAAGAATAAGAAGTGAAAAAAGGAAATGAGAACCGCAGCTGCTTAAGCCACCACACTATTTGAAGGCTTCAATGTGTCATTCAACTACCTGAAAAATCACTTGAAATGTTGAAGCCGGATGTCTTGCATGAGCTTATTCTAAAGCCGGTTTTTCACTTGGGAATTTCTTCGCACGAAGCGAATTTGCTATTGTTTAAGTTAAAAAGAATTGATTAAAAATCTAATTAGTTCCAGCCGAGAGCTTATAAGACAAAAGATTCGCGCCAACGAATTCGCTAGGGGAAAACATGCTTAAAGGCGGTTTTCCAGTCCTCGCACGAAGCTCCTCGCAGCTCGCTGCGGGTGCTTGCATCTAATTAAAATTAACTGTTTAGCATTGTGATTGGATGAAAGTGCTCATGCATGCACTCGCGGCGAGCTGCGAAGAGCTTCGTGCGAGGACTGGAAATCCGCCTTATAGCCCATTTTCCACTCACGTATTTCGCCGCCGCTGGCGAAAAATTTCGCCACCGAAAAAGTTCATTTGTCGTTCTTCCGCGCCGTCAACGAAAGGTCAAACAGAAGTTGAAAATTTTAAGCAACTGTAGCAGCAGAACAAATTTCTTTAGCGGCGAATTAATGTAAAAAAAATTATTTCATTTTCAAAATTTTCGCCAGTGGCGGCGAAATACATGAGACAGTGGAAAACGGGCTTAAGGCCTGTTTTTTTTCCACCAGGCGAAGTTGTCCAAGCGAAGCGACTTTTCCCTTTGTCGATATCACTTTTGCTAAAGTGATCAGCAATGCCGCGGACAAACGAAAAAGTCCCTTCGTGTGCGAACAAATTTACCGGCTAGTGCTCCTTAGATCCTACTTTAACGTTGAAATACTGATACGGAATTTGTCTATAACATTGCGTTATTAATAATGTTGTATTAATCCTTAGAATAGTTGTCTAACAACTTCTAGTTGAAAAACTTGTCGCGAAAGTTTTAAAAGTCAAAGAGAATATCGCCCAAGATTAAGTTCATTGAGCTTTTACAGCAAAATGTTTGACACTCAGTTGCTTAGCATCCATTAAAGTGCAAGATAATAAACGGCAGGTTAAAATCATGCTTTGCGCTCGAAACAGATGTACAGTAAACCAAACTTTCTTCAAATTTCAAAAAAGATAAAGTTTTACTATATTCACAAAAATGTTACAAAACAAAATAATCTACTATAGATATTGATAAGCATATTATACATCAACTTAAGTATATTAAGTATTGATATTGCTATGGCCGAATTAAAAATTAATATTATCAATTTTAAAAAGTTGCTAATAAAATGTTCCTGTGATTATTACTTTCTTTAGTTGAGGCCTAATGTCATACTGTTTCCAACCCTATATAGCTTTTTCCGTTCTACTTTGAGAATATAATTTAAATTTTACCTTGCTGTTGCCACAATTCAGGTGCTTCCCATTTACGGGATCCTCCGCAAACATTCCAATCGCCAAGTTTCCTCCTACTTGTCTTGCTTGGATCAGGTAGCCTTTGATATTATCACCCGAACTTTCGATGGAAACTGTGACATTTTCTCCTGGCATATAATATGGTCTTTTCACCTTAACTTCGTACGGACTTGCTCCTGCTTGAGCAGCAGCCGTATGACCTGGTGCCATGCTTTCACATTGAGAAGTCGGTGCTCCGGAATGATGACATAGACTCTCGTGGAATAAAATCGAAGTAATAATAGCGAAGACAGCGCCTATCATCGGCATTGTTAATTGAACTAGACACTAAACACAAGAATAATGCAACCGAGGCGAAGCAATATAAGCTACTCAAAGGACGTCTTTTTCACAATGCTTGCGTGTGGTTGATGTGTCTATTGTTACTTCATCAGCATGTATATTAACGTATTATTATAATGGCGTATTATTATGCTAATCACTAAAGCTGCTATCATCATGCATGGAGGTAGGTCATAAATTATAATCATATATACTTCCGCGATGTCCGCTAACAAATGCCTTATTTTTTTAATGAATGGATGAATTGCTGAAATTATGTGTACTAATGACTTTTTGTGACGTTGGTACTTCTCATGAAGGTTTATGTTTTCGGAAAATTTAAACCACTAAAGCTAAAGCTATCAAACCGCCGAATTGCGTCACCTATAAATTATAAGTACTAAATTATTAATATGCGAACGAGGAAGATTTATCCTTTGGAATAAATTATTAGTACTAAATTATTAATATGTGAACGAGCATATTGTACCTGCATTTAGAATAAATTATTAGTCGGTAATAAATTATTAATATGGGAACCTACATTTGTATAGTTTTAAGTAATTGTTATAAATAGCCTGAACAGATGAAGACATATCCTCCTGGTGAAGCTTATGAGAAATGTTGGGAGCTGGAGGTATTAGGCTAGATGAAAAGAGCAAGCCAGCTTATGAGATGGGTTCTATTTTAGTATATGTGCGTGTACGTTCCTCAGTGGAACAACAGTACTTATAACCGAATTTCTATCCTAAAAAAGACGAGCTATGGCGCCATGGATTATACTAAAACACTGGATATAAAACTCATGATCACGCATGATGTTTTAGCGCGCTAATGGCGTCTCAACATTATGTTGAAAATTATGACATCGCTAATTTCAGAGTAATTCATTGTTTAGCAATAATACAACGAAGCATTTTAGTAAAAACTAAAAAAATGTAAGAATAGTGTGATACAGTCATGTCACTCTACAATAGAATATCTAAATGTTGTTGGTCATTTTAAAACATCAATAATTAGACCGTCAAATACGTTTATCGTGAAGTATGTTAATTTCGGAGACAATTACGTGTCGCTAATTTTAATTATATTGACAGTAGTTTTTGTGACGCCAATTTCGTGATTACGAATTTAAAGTATTTCCCTCAAACAAAGACGAGCAGAATTTATCTTGAATACTCGGTCGTGTCACAGGCAAGTTTAAAAGACGTTTGAATCTCAATATAGCTGTTGGAGTACGAAAATACACGAAAATGGGAGAAAGTGCGTTAAAACGTCTGCTATATTTGTTGATATAATCTTGCACGATCCTATACGCCAGTGTATATATAGGTACTGCCAATCAATAGCAAAATGTCGGTTGATACAGGGAAGCAACTACCTGAAAGGTCCATTCGTTGTGAGTTACAGTAGTAGCGAGGCTCGGAAAAATTGCATGATCACATGAAGCTCGTGTAATATTCCCGACCACTGGTACTAATTTCCCAACGAAGGGCGTTCGCTCGAAACATCGAAGTTCATGTATTTCTCAACAACGACCAGGGGGTTTGGGTTTTTAAATTTTTTTCTTTGAATATTTTTCTTTTTAATCCCCGAGCCAACGGCGCGGAGCGCCGTTCCGGGCGTAAGCCCGGGGCGAGGGTACTAATCCCCCCCGGCTATTTACACTCGGGGAAACAAAAGCATTAGCGAAGTCTAAAGTTCATCAATGGTCGCGGGCGTGGCTCACAACGGTGTTGAGTGGGTGGTCATCCGACTCATCCTCACTGATCTCAAAAATATGGCTGATTACTTGTAGGAGAGGGATGAGCAAGATTTCAATTTTAAAAGACATATATTTGGAAAATTGTTTCATATACAACAAGCTTGAAGCAATTTTGTTTGAAGAAATGAGAAGAATTGATTTACTATCGGAAATCGTGAAATATACGGCAAGTTTGCTTTGAATATTTAATGTTTACGAATTTTGTTGCTTTAACTTTTTGCCTAAAAACATGAACTGTTCTCCTTTTCAACGAAGCTCTAAGTTTCATAAATTACCGAGAAATTAAAAATCTTAAAATGTAAAGGAGAACAAATTGATTTGAAGATTGAACTGAAAATATTAGTTTATTGGCAAATGAACTATAGTTGAATGGACATTTCAAAATATTTTACGAAGCGTTTCAAGTTAAATTTTACATTAAATCAAAGCTCACAAAATGCAAAACAATATACCTACAGTATATATTTCGGAAATTTATTGCTGTATAGTTAAAAGTACAAATCTTTTAACTATTTTGCAGTTTTTTACAAAAAATATGAAAAAATTAAAAATTTAAGAATATCGTGTTGTCATAGCAACACTTGAGCGCGAACCTGCGTTCAGTGGGCCATTTCTGAATACTTCATGTTAATTTAATGTTTGGAAAATATTGGCTGCGGTGCCTAAATTACTTTGAATTTGTACTCGAGTAAAACTAGAAGTAATTAACAATAAAACGACTTGAGTAAGAGTAAAAAGTACTGGAAGCAAAACGTACTTAAGTAAAAAGTACAAAGTATCCTTAAAAAATATTTGAAGTACAAAGTAAAAGTAAAAGTACTATTGTCTGTAGCCTGTAGAGGGGGAGGGGGACTTCTCCAATGGATTGACATACAAAAGACACAAAACAGCACACGCATTATATGTGTGCACCGAATATACAATATTTCACGGCATGGTCTACTTTCCAGACCCGTTGCAGATATAAGAAATCCATTAAATAAATAATGCTTATATATAAGTAAGTCACAAACGAGAGATCCCAGACGCATGTAGAGGTCGTATTACCTATCCCGAAATTAAAATAAATCGGAAATAAATCACGTAAGATTAAATAAAAGTTAGAAAGTAACGAAATACTTCGCCACAAAATGAAAATAACGAAGTAAAACGTTACTTCTTAAAATGACTTCGTTCCAAGTAAAAGTACGCCAGAAAAAGTTTACTTTGTTACATGCTCACTTCTCAAAAATAGTACTCAAGTACAGTAACGAAGTACATTTACTTCGTTACTTGACACCACTGAATATTGGCGAGGGATTACTGCATGCATGTATTTATAGTTAGATGTAATAGTTCCTTGTCTGTCCATCATGCGTACGAGACAGGGGGCAGGTGGGGGCAACTGCCCCCACCCCCAAATTTAGAAAAATCAAGTAAATTCGGGCAGATTTATCAGAGAATAGGTTAAGGTTAGGTGATTTCATTAAAACCCTCCAAACTTTCAACTGCCCCCTCCCCCCTTGGAAAGCATCAGCTCCGTACTTCTATGCTGTCCATAGGTGATCATATGTATTCTTTATACTATATTTTGGGATGTTATGATCGACATCTGAGAGAAATAAGTCACACCAGTTAGAAAGCGTTTCATCAACGTTGCCAGAAACAAAACACTGATCCCATGGAGCATATATGAGCTTTTTTTTTTAACTCCAGTCCGGCTAGCTAGGTTTCTTAGAATTATAAACGGAACGCTTCGCTTTTGGTTTCCTTTGAACTTTCAAGCTGTTAAAACTAGTTTGTGATCTGTGTTGAGAATGTCATCGAATCCTTGCACGTTACTAACTTTGTCTGAAATGTTGGTGAGGATAAGATCCAGCATATTATCAGTTCTATTGGGAAAGTTGACCAGTTGCCACATATAGTGTCTTGACTGTTTTGGTAAAGTGGTTGTGAATGAGATCGTTGGTTCTTAGCTGACCCGGTCGACCAAACAATATAGTCTAGGACCTGTATAGATGTTTGTATGCGTTTCATTTAGCACTGGTAATCTTAACTGTTTTAGGGTAAAGTGACCATGGCGGTCAACATGGCATATGTGCCAAAACCTGAATCCGGGGTGAAAGTCCTGAAAATGAACCAGCTCTGAAACGGCAGTGCTGACATAGCTCCAACTTCCGAAAACGAAAAGCGACAGCCTTTCTGCAGAAGTGCTTATAGTGTTTAAAAGGGTTGCTTTTAGGGGTGGTTAATAGAAGGAAAAAGTTGTCTAAGTATAATATTTTACAAGAAAATGACCATGCACCACCCCAAGGTAAATTGCTAATTATGCATAAATAACTAATATGCCTGGCAGAAATTAAATGTTCTTATTTCCTAAAAAAAAATTATCAAGGGATGAAAAACTATGCTTAATTTAATATAATTATTGTAGTTTTCATAAAGATTGTAATTGTTTTCTAAATAAAATACATTTTATTTCACTCCCCTCCCCCCCTCTCACGAAAACACGATTTCAGCCATATTTTGCCGTCTTGTTTGCTTTTTATCGCCGAGTCTCGCAGATATCGTCCAGTTGTTGTACTTTTACATAACGATAAATAGCTAAAGAAGATTTCAACCAAGTTTCATCAAGTTTTGAAACAGTGCAGTGTATTTAATTTTCCATATTGTGTCCTTCGATATTTCGTCAAATTGCCGCAATTTTAATGACTCGCCGCTTTTCTGCCCGATAAATGCCACTTCTTCGTTTTCATATGTATTTAGATTACATTATCCAAGAGTACATCATTGTAGAACAGCGCAATCGAAAAATTGAAAGCATAATTGGTTGCACTTGGGAGTAAAAAACCTCCCGTAAAGCATTTAGGTTCAAAATAAAAAACAAATCATTTGAAAGTCACGAGCAATCTTTGCGAAAACTTCTCGTGGACACATGACAGGGGGTGAATATTTTCACGAAACGTTTGTTCGCCACCACAGCAACCTAACTAAATATATTGTATTTTTATGATTTATGTAAACACAATAAATACTTGCGTAGTTTTGTCATCAATCATAAAAGTACAATAAATACAATATATTTAGTTAGGTTGCTGTGGTGGCGAACAAACGTTTCGTGAAAATATTCTCCCCCTGTCACGTGTCCACGAGAAGTTTTCGCAAAGATTGCTCGTGACTTTCAAATGATTTGTTTTTTATTTTGAACCTAAATGCTTTACGGGAAGTTTTTCCTTCCAAGTGCAACTAACGCTTTCAATTTTTCGATTGGGACTATTCTACAATGAAGTATTCTTGGATACTGTAATCTAAATACATATGAAAACGAAGAAGTGAGCCGCACTGATTTACGCGTTGCATTTCGGGAAGACCCTCATTCCTCCTCTGGGTTGAAATCGTCTTTAGCCATTTATGATTATGTAAAAGTACAACAACTGGATGATATTTGCGAGACTCGGCGATAAAAAGCAAACAAGACGGCAAAATATGGCTGAAATCGTGTTTTCGTGGGGAGTGAGTGAAATAAAATGTATTATATTTAGAAAACAATGACAATCTTTATGAAAACTACTATAATTATATTAAATTAAGAAGAGTTTTCATCCCTTGATATTTTTTTGTAGGAAATAAGAACATTTAATTTCTGCCAGGCATATTAGTTATTTTATGCATAATTAGCAATTTACCTGGGGTGGTGCATGGTCATTTTCTTGTAAAATACTATAGCTATACTTAGACCAATTTTTCCTTCCATTAACCACCCCTAAAAGCAACCCTTCTAAACACTATAAGCACTTCAGAAAGGCTGTCGCTTTTCGTTTTCGGAAGTTGGAGCTATGTCGGCACTGCCGTTTCAGAGCGGGGTCATTTTCAGAACTTTCGCCCCCCTGATTCAGGTTTTGGCACATATGCCATGTTACCGCCATGGTCATTTTACCCTAAAACAGTTCAGATTACCTGTGCTAAATGAAACGCATGCAAATATCTATGCAGGTCCTAGACTAATATGAGGAAGGTTGAAGTCACTGCACTAATTAAATGATTAACTGGTAAAATTTGTTGTTGTTTTGCATAAACTGAAGTATTTTCTTAAATTCTAGCTCTGAGGTAGTTAAGTTCAAATCCGTGTCAGGTGGTCTGTAGTATGCACTTACTGGAAGTTTTTTCTTACACTTCAGACGAATCTCATAAACTGAAATTTCCTCTTTGCTTTCAAGGACTTCTCTTCTGAAGCCGCTAATAAAGTTCCGCCACCAATTCTATCAATTCTGTCTTTACGATGGATAATAAAGTCATTTCCAGGCAAAAGCTCACAGTTTCCAAACTCAGGTTTAAGCCGCGTTTCAATTATAGCAATCAAGTCAATGTCAGTCACAAGTGTTTGAAGTTCGCTGGTTTTGTTAGTGGTTGACCATTTAACTTTTGAGGGGGGGGGGGGAGTGATTTTGAAAAAAATACCTGCACTAACAAACTCTGCGGGAAAAAATATCCTGCCCCATTATTTGGTGGGAAAAAATGTTGCAAAACTGCATGGTTGCACGGATCGATTTGACCAGTCTCATAAGATCAGCTGGTTTGATTTTCAGGGACTAGTGTAAGGTTAATTTCTTGTTGGAAAACTCTTCAAAATGCTGGAAATAGCTTATCTGCATGAGCTTCAAGAAATCCAAAATTTTCTGGGGGGGCATGCCCCCAGACCACTCCAGAGGCTCCCACCTTTGGTGGTCGACTCGGTTGTCTTAGAATCATACTTATTAGTTAAACTACTAAAAGTATACTTATTAGTTAAACCATGCATACTTATTAGTTAAACCACTAAAAGCATACTTATTAGTTAAACCATGTGCATATATATGCTGCAGGTAGCTGCAGTGATACAAACCTGCCGACTGGAACTTATTTAGCGGGGAACCAGGTCCCCGCATAATATGTCCCGTCCTGTTACACATCCTTAAAGAGGCCCTGAACCAAATGTCAGTTATACCTCATAGCAATATGTATTATTAGAAGCAATGCATGAACCTAGAAAACTCAATGTTAACTATAATTAAAGAGAGAGTGGCAAAAAAAGAACGAGAGAGTGGCAAAAAAAAATCGTTAATGGTGATGGGATAGAAAAAAAATCTTGCACATAACGATCCCAGAAAAAAATTCCCTGCGAGCAGTAAATCAGCACCCCCCTCTCAAAAGTTAAATGGTAGGCCACTTATTCAAATTTCTAGCGTTTATAAGTACAGTCTGTACAGACATTCTATCGTGCGAGGGTTAGCCGCATCAGGAGTCAATAGGGTTAACAGACCTATGAAGTATTTTGTTTGCAAAAACACGGACCAGGATTTGTGGCCGCATCACCAGCCAAAAGAATTAACAAAACAACATGAGATAGTTTAAAGTAGTGTTGGGAGAATACTGTACGAGAGAATCGTGTAAAACACGAGGCGTTTACCGTTCATAGCGCCAAATGCATGAAAATCTTTCAAAATCTATTTTTGAGGTTTGTCATATAATCTGTGCCATAGAATAAAAATGCGTTCGAAACTGATAAAATACTCGGCGGGATTATATGTCAAACCATTCAATAACATATATTTACAACTATTAAATAGTCAAGAATATTTTGTGTTTTGAACATGCGAAAAGCTGTAAATGTATTTGCAGATGACCAGGAGGAATTTGGACACCATCTGAGACAAAAATACAATTAAAGCGGCCACAAATTTATAGACACATATATAATTAAATGTTTCCAAGCAAATGTTTCAAACCGGACTTTGTATTCTGTCGTCGTGTGACCATGTCTTTCATTATTTTCTTATAAGTCATGATGTTATGTTTGTTTATAAGCGCTCAAATTAGTGAAGAGTACAAAATAGAAGATCAGATGGCATTTTGCCAGAAAACAAGAAATAACCCAACGAAGAATAAAAAAAGAGCATTGTGATTCAACTGAATTCCATCACATTTGGCATCGTTAGGTTTACACGTGTTGTTGGCTGTGGGTGTTGGCTGCATTTCCTAGATGAATAGATTAATATGATAATAAAACACTTTTAATAATTAAAAGAAGCATGAACACAACACCTCCAATTTCAAGCGGCCATTTATACATCTAATTTCCAATTATGAAAAAAATATTTTAGTGCTTCTTATAAATATTTCCAGGCATTTGGCACGTACGTCATGTATTATACTTATTAAAACTTGCACTTCGTGAAAGCGGGTACACACCGGCTGTGAAGTACTCAAAAAGCTGCGTATGTGCTGTTGTGCCTTCAGTAATTTTCATTCTGCTTTTACCAACATGCTGCATGCATCATTCTCACAAACAATAAAAACCCCAGATTTGTGAAAATGATATATTCTCTGTTAGTTCCAAAATTGTACAAGGAGGACGGGAATGAAAGAAGCTACAACACAACTGTATTTCTTGAGTACTTTATGGCCGCCACAGCACCGTTACCTAACCCAAATGGCTTAACTGTCCTACTGTAGGAAGGCATATATGAAGTAAGGCATATATGAAGTAAGTTCAAGTAGTTGAATACAATATATCTTTCAAGGAGCTCATTAATTCTCTGTAAAAATGCTTTTAAACCTGAAAATTAAGTAATGAGTAAAAAAGGGACTAGAAGTGTTGTCAATGGGAGGGTTTCGGCCTCATTTTTAATTTAATTAACATCAGTTCCAACACGCAGTGACTTTTTGACAGTGGCACGTACAAGATCGCCATGGCATCATGTAACCAAATTAACGCTTCTATCTGATATGCATGGAAGCAACCCTCTAGAAATGTCAGCCGGTATATGTGTAACGTACTGGGGCCCAAGCACTCAATTTGTTCATATGCATATAGAGAACTATATTGTTATCATCCTCGTCCCCAGGCCCAAGCTCCGGTGGCCCTTCCAAGCGGGGATGTATTGTTATATAATGGATTTTGTATTTGTTTAGAATCAGAAAAGAGATTTTCAAAAAAAGTTAGATTAGGGTTAGGGGTTATGGTTAGGTGCTGCGAATTTATCATGTTGATAAATTCGGACGTGTTTAACAATTTACTTATATAGCAAATTAAAAGGTGGACCTCATGCTGAAATTTTTCTGCCTTCGAGCGTGTATGCAGTGCAGATTGAAACTTTATTTTAGAAGAGGTCGGGTAATGATTTTTTCTCTTGTTTTAATTCTCTGTGGTCTCCAACGCCACCTTTAATGATGATCGGTACCTTAGATCGGCATTATTTTTAATTACATAGAAATTGCAAACGCAATAACAAGGCCTTGCCCCATCCCCTCCCCCAGACCTTTGCCCCTGATTTCATAGATAGCGCTTACCCTCTTGTAGAGTTCTGATGATTGAAGTTTCACCCAGAATGTAGCTTTGTCTTTCACGACCGTAGCAAAGAAAGAAATATTTCCAGAGAGGCTCATTGGAGGTTCCCATTCAAAAGTTACTGTGTTGACGCTCAGTCTGGTACTGTGCGTAACGGCACCCTGCAAAAACATACAATGATAAACAGGTAAATTAAATGTTGATGTAACGACTCGTCCTTATAGAGGGCACTCAGAGGGTGCATATCTATGCCACTGAATTAAGGTAAGTAACTTGCATAAACTTATGCACTGCCTAGTTACTTATTCCATGTTCTTTAATTTAACCGGGAAAGCAAGACAAATGTGGTTAATTTCTGCGAGGGGTAAATTTCTCTGAAATCTTCGTACACTTCGCCAACTGATCCCAAAAGATCTTTTAAGAATCCCAAAATCTTACCAATTTTAATAAAATCCCAGCATTGCGAAATCCGAAAAAAATCCCATGATATAATCTGTAAATATTTCAGAAAATACTCGGAAAAGACCAATAAAAACATCAAGATCATTGCAAAGTCGATAAATGCCATCAAGTTTTGAAAAATGTCCCACGGAAATATCCTATTTAAACCCTTCAATTCTATTCCATCATATTTAATAGAGGAGATGGTTTGAAAACTCGTTAGCATTACAATAAAATCACAATAAACCTCATTATCTATGTTGTTCAGGTTTATGCAAAAATGTGGTCTTTCATCGTCACGTGTGTATTGTATTTTTCTCAAGTCAACCAATAGGAATGTTCAAAATGTTCTATTGTTAAAGTTATGGATGGGCAATTGGACAAAACCGTTGCTATTGGCTGGTTGAGCAAAAATACAATACGCACGTGCGATGAAAGACCACATTTTTGCACGTAGATAGTGAGGTTTATTGTAATGCTAATGAGTTTCCAAACCATCTCCTCTATTAAATATGATTCCATGAACTCGTAATCTTCATGTTCACTGATCCATGAACACTTCGTGTAAAAAAATTTTATCACATGAGGATCGGGAGAAAAATGGCGACAAACACGTGTTTGGCTACGTTTTGCATATTTATTCGCTTATTTTACTTATGATTGTTTATATAAAGTTCTGTTTTTATGAAAGCATTATTGGAAAAAGTTCAGCGACAAAAAAACGGGGAAAATATTTAGGAAAAGTCATTAAAAAAAATCCAAAAATCCCTGACAATTTGGCAAAAAAATCTCTGAATCCCAAAAAAAATTGCAGGGATTTTTTAATCCCAAGAATCTTCGTACGCTTTTTTTAGAGTAATTTTCTGATCCAATTTCATTCCGGTAATATCTCCAGCAGATGAATAGATAGCTGGAAATCGTAAAACCTGATCGTGAAACCATATATTACGCATAACTAGGGTAAACTGCAAGGTAGGGATTTCTGCGGGCATTAAGTGCAAAAAGAACTAAATAGTGCAAACTATATAAAGCACAATTATTGGTCGCAGCGAGCCAGCGACTGGTGAGCACTGTGGCCGGAGCTTAAGAATACGGAATCGATTCATGCCATAAGTGTACTGTAACTGAGAAAAAGCAAGCCAATTGTTGCCAAGACTAGGGGTTAAAGGGCGATCACAGGTGACAGATTTATCAAACCTGTGCGTCTCATTGAATACTTGCATACTATATATAATAAAGCATAAGCAAGAATATATATTTTCAAGGCCAAGTGGAATCTGTTCAATTACGCGCTGCTTAAGTACGCGTATAAAATACAAACGACAAAGCATTCTTAAGACATACAGGTAAATTATACAGGGTCAGGGTGTATAAAAAAAGTACACAGTTGGAAAAAGTTCACTAAAGACATTTTTGAAAACTTTCAGTAAGCCATTGTATTTTAATTAACGTTCTCTGGTACATCTAACTCTAAAATTATTTAAAATGCTAGCGTTTTTAAAGTAGGAAAGCTATTACTAAATAAAACCCCCAAAAGTCCTTGCGAAAAAACATTTTCCATCGGACAGATGTAATTCAATCACACAGAGTTAAAATATAGACAGTCTTGCACAAGCTATCAAAGTTTCAAGAAATTTGGTGCACGCGTATAGGCCAACGCGAGGTCTTCAAAACCTGGATTTTCTCGATTAACGCGATTTCTTCGCATAGTTTCAAATTAATTTTATGTATGCTCGGATGTTTGCATAAATTACAGTACGAAATTCGCAAGCCAATTCCCAAAGGTCTTTTCACAAAATTATTTACATGCAGTGTTTATTTACAAACAAAATCAATCTTCAACATAGGAGGGCACAGTCATTAAAGATTGATTATAATTGTAAATAAACACTGCATGTCAATAATATTGTAAATAAACCCTGTTAATAACTCCAGAACCTTTGGGAATTGGTTGCGAATTTCGTACTGTAATTTGTGCAAACATCCGAGCATGCATAAAATTAATTTGAAATCGTGCAAAGAAATCGCGTTTAAACTAACAAACTTTGATTGCTTGTGCAAGACAGCCCATATTTTGACTCTTTGTGATTGAATTTTGTGTCCGATAAAAATTTTTTGCGCAAGGGCAGGGCCTTTTTTGTTTTTTTTATTTTTTTATTTATTTATTTATTTATTAAACTTTGCCAAAAATACTTAACAGAACAGCAAATAGACATCTAGACAATAAACATGGACAAAAATGGCAGGGACACCACAACAGTGTAAACCAATTATTGTGGGCCCTATACAAAAATACACATACAGTACAGAATATATAACATACAGTACATGGACAGGAGACTAAAAACAATAAGTTAGTTCAGAACGTAAGTAACGACTAGTGTTACACTTCAGACATATAGTCTTCCATGTCCTCGGATCTTCTTCGTCGAAGCATTCTCTCAGGGCTGTCAGGTAGTAAGTTTGTAAATCGGTTTTGTATTGCCTAATATTGATGTCAGGAGATCTTAGTGTAGTTGGTAAAGAGTTCCAAGTTCTGGATGCAAGAATAAAGAAGGAGCGTTGGTAGGTAGAGGTTTTGCATTTGGCCGGACGGAAGGAGATTTGGTTGCCACTGGAGGATCTGGTCGTTCTGGTTTGGGACATGACTTCGGGGAGGACGTCATGGGACACGTCGTTCACCGCTTTGAAAAAGAACACGAGATCCAAGTATTCATGCCAGTAAGATAGCGGTAAGAGGCCCAAACTGGCAAGTCGTTCCCGATAAGTCTCACTGCACAAGTACGGAAGGTTTAAAATGTACTTCGTTGCTCTTCTTTGGACCCGTTCCTTCCGTTGGATGAGGGTCACGGTTTTAGGCGACCAAACCTGGCTCGAGTAACCAAAAACCGACCGAACCAAAGACAGGTACAGAGTCCGGCGGGTCCTCGCGTCGCTTATTTCCCCCAGAACATCGCTTTATAAATCCAAGGAGTTTGTTGGCCCGGGTACACCGGTCTAAAATGTGTTTAGACCAGGTTAGATCGCTCGCAATCCAAATTCCCAGATCGTTCTCAGCTGGTATAAGTGCAAGTTCTTTGCCTTTGATGCTATATAGATGATGGATTGGTTGACTACGTCTGGTAATGCTAATACTTTTGCATTTTCCTTCGTTAAACACGAGAGCGTTTGACGTGGACCAGGATTGAAGGTTATTGATGTCGCCCTGGAGTAACATAGCATCGGTGATGGAGTCAACTCTACGGAAGATTTTGGTGTCATCTGCAAAACACGCAACTGTCGAGTTCGTCACAGCGTCTGTTAAGTCATTCATATACAGGAGGAAGAGTATTGGTCCTAAGATACTGCCTTGCGGAACACCAGAGCACACTGGTTTTTTGGAAGAAGTAGCGCCAAGAGTTGTGAGGCGCTGTTGGCGGTCATGTACATACGATGTGAACCATTGGAGAAGAGATCCGCCAATGTTATACTGTTGGAGTTTGTTTATCAGAGCTGTATGGCTGACCTTGTCAAAAGCCTTTGACATGTCCATGAAGATTATATCGGTTTGTTTGCCAGAGTCTAAAATGGATCCAATATGTAGTGTAAAACTTCGACTAGCTGGGTTGTGCATGACCTTACCTTCCAGGAATGAAACCATGTTGAGTGGAGTTAGGCGCATTTACCACATGATATACACAGTAAGAAACCAAAACCAATCTACTCTCACTACACTACACTACACTACACTACACTACACTACACTACACTACACTACACACTAGTCAAAGCACGTGAAATCGGGTGGATAAAGCACGTGGAATCGGGTGGATGTGTATTGCGCACAACAACTGAGCACGACCACAATGCAACGCGCTAGCAAAATGTACTGAACAGAAACCTCTCTGCACAAATTAGGCTGCTTCATCGCTCGCTCGCTTCAGGCTCGCTCGCTCCGCAGCAATAACATGCCTAACATATATATTTGAAAAATATAAAGAATAAACGTTAAACAGTCACTTCGCATACTTTGTGCTTGGAAAATATAGTTGTTTTTCTTACTAATTACTATGTACGTATTGCATGCATGTATTTGTAGTGTTTTTGATATTTTTAGTAATATCCTGTTGACAGACAAACACATGACACATACAGTATATACATACAAAAAGCCAGCGCGGCAGGCTCTTCTAGGGGAGGGAATAGGGGATTCAAAGTCATGCACATGAAGAAACTATGGTTTTCCATTCGGTAATTGATTCAAGCAGCTCAGCACAACTACAGTATATACATACAAAAAGCCAGCGCGGCAGGCTCTTCTAGGGAGGGAACAGGGGGATTCAAAGTCATGCACATGAAGAAACTATGGCTTTCCATTCGGTAATTGATTCAAGCAGCTCAGCACAAACCTCGCAACATCCACAGACCTTTAGTGCCATGGATCATGAAAACACTGGATACAAAACTCATGATATTTTTAGCGTGTTGAGGCGTCTCAACATTATTGAAAATTATGACATTACTAAGTTAAAAATAATTTAACGTTTAGCAATATCATAATGCGAAGTAATGCGAATATCTAAATATTGTTGGTCATTTTAACATACCAAGCATACCAAGCAAGCAGTTTAGGCCTGTTTCAAACGTCGCGCTTCTCATGTGCCGCTATGCAAATATTTTCGTATTCATTGACTGTGAAAACAATCAATTTCTAAAGAAATTAATACTGATAATAATTTTGAATTTGCATAGCGGGACTAAATTGTCGGGCTGGCTACGCCACTGCTTGTATTTGAAATAAATAAAGGAAAAAACGCACAAAAAGTAAAAAAATATTAACCATCATTTATAATTAGAGGAGGATAGCAATGGTCACGTGTGTGGGGGTGTACTCCCCCAGAAAATATTTGAAATTTGAAGCACGGAAATGCCATTTCCTGCATTCTGAGCATCCAAATTTGCTCTAAAATTTGTGTTGACTATACTTGTATTTGAAATAAAAGAAGGAAAAAATGCACAAAAAGTAAAAAAGAATATTAACCGTAATTTATCATTACTTATTAGAGGGATAATCCCCAGAAAATTTTAGAAATTTGAAACCCGGAAATGCTATTTCCTGCATTCTGAGCATCCAAAAAATAATAAAATTATTAACAATAATTTATCATCACTTAGTGGTAGAAAAACGTAACAATTTAAATCGATTTTGTTAAATAAGGACAAAGGATAAAGCCTAAAACTTACTTTCCGTTTATCTATTTGTTAATCTTCGCTGGTTTGTTTGAATAATTTTAGGGAAAAGGGACTTTTCCTGGGGGGGAGGGGCAAGATGTGATTTCATGGGGGGGGCAGCTTGTATGTTAAAAAGGCCTGTTTTTTCCCCTTTATTGGACCTTCGTAATTGAACATCTTTGCCCATCTAGTCAAATAAAGGCAATTTTTCCGATCATATTTCTGTCACCCAATATATGTAGTACATCCAAGAAAATAATGAGTGACGCCGGAGTACCGATAATCGAAGGTTACCACGGTGAAGACCAATCAGATGAAAGACTGAGATCAGAAGCTGAAAGGATTGGGTAAGATTATACTAAATGCTGCTAAAAATTTCGAAGACGAATATCGTTCTCATCTCTATTTTCGCAAAATTTTGCTTTTCGTTTATAACATGATATTTTGTTGGTGTAATATTTTTCCAACAGTTGGTAGGTTTCTGTAAGTGACATGGGATTGCAGTCAGCTTCAGAATTATTCACATTATCTGTTTGCCATATAGAATACAACCAAATATCTGTTGTACGTGGAACATCTAATGTATTGTAGAACTCGATGTTGGAGGGATTTTGTAGATATAATATATAGTGTAAATTTTATACATAGCCAGCCTAGAGCAGCTGCAAAAACTTCGAGTATTGCCCCTCTGGCAGGATTCGAACCTGAGGCCCTGCGATTCTGGTGTAGCGTTCCAACCAACTGAGCTACAGTTCTAAACGCAAGTTCATGTAATTAAAGGGCATCTCACTCGATACCTCCAATATTTATACTACCCACTGAGATGCCCAAAACCCTGATATTGTAAAACTCGCCTATATTGAGCACAAGATGATGTGGTATGTCCTTCTATTGTCCATTTCTAGATATCCAGTGATGTTAAAAGCTGTGAGAGGTGGAGGAGGAAAGGTAATATATTGATCTAACGCGATCTGTTAGTCCGCAACTATTACTCTATCTTTATGATATCGAACACTTTCTAGCATTCTGCGAACCAAAACGCATTTCATCGATTATAACCATGCGACTGAAAGTGAATATTTAACACTCATTGACTGGGACGCAGGTAAACAGTAGGTTTGTCCCTTTGTGAACACTCTATTTCCCGAAAGTCCCAGTCAATAAGTATTTTTATTATTATATTCCAAGTGTCAAAGAGAAAACAAAAAAGAAACAAAGAAACGCGAAACTTGCATAATTTTTGCTTTATAAACCAACGATTTTATTATTCACAGGTGAATAAAAGTAATGTCCACCGGTCAGTGCTGTTGTCACGTGATACGCTCTCGTCCAATGAGTTGCAAGAAAACATGAAGTTTGACACTTGGTATATAATAATGATTTTTAATGCCTAAATGGACCCGGTAACCTCACATGAGATAGCGCTCACATACTAAGCTTCCTTAGTTGTGGTTTAATACGGAAGTTATGACCATTTTACCGATTTCGATTATTCATCTGAATTAGGGTATGAGAACTGTTTGGAAGGCGGAGGAATTTGATGAAGCGTTGGAATCAGCCAGAAGAGAATCAATGAAATCATTTAATGATGATAACATGCTCGTGGAAAAATTTGTAGAATCACCCAGGTAAACATGTCGTGAGATATGGCGCGCGAATATTAAAAGCACGTGCGCGAGGTAAACATTTTCGATTAATATTTAAGAGAAAACATTGACCTTTCAATGTTGGCACGAATGTCATTTTTTCATCAGGGACTTTTTGTCCACGTGAGATCAACGCCTTTTTGTCCACGTTCTAAGTTGTTTACAAGTTGATAACAACAAGCTCGTAGCAACTCGTTATGAACAGCCTGTATTAGTCTTGTTGGAACAACTTGTAGCAACACTGTTACCGTCATACTTTGTAACAAGGTAATAACAACTTGTTCCAGACAACATCTGGGAACATACAGTGCGAACACATACAACTTATTTGCAGATCTGCAACAACTTGCGCGTGTGTAGGTGTCTAGTAACCCACCACTGGTTATCCACGTGACTTGCATAGCGTCAGCATAATGGAAACGGCCTTAATGATGAATGAATTAAACCATGCCATGCACAGACCAAAGAGAATACTCGTTACTACCACACTGAAAAGCACTATTTCAACCTCGTTTTAGTATTTTGAATTATAAACATCTTATAAATTCCAGACATGTCGAAGTGCAAGTGTTTGCAGACACGTCAGGAAACACAGTGTATTTATTTGAACGAGACTGTAGTGTACAGAGACGTCATCAAAAGATTATTGAAGAAGCTCCAGCACCAGGGATCTCACCCGAGGTACGCAGGAAACTGGGGGAAGCTGCTGTGAGAGCCGCAAAGGCTGTCGGGTATACTGGCGCAGGTATGGTTATACAAGTTTTCACGCTGATTCGAACAGTAGTATTTTTGTCCTTGTTTGACGCATAAAACCGATAAAGCCTAGCAAGTAGTCGATCTTGAAAGTACAAGATTAATAATAATTAATTAATAAATTCCGAGCACGTGCAAGGAATTTTTAGTAGGCGATTAAGGAAACGTATTGATGCGAACACACTAACAAACGGACAAACAAACGGACAAACTCACAGGCAGAATATAATGCGGTGCCAAACTTGGGCACCGCAATAGAATAACATACTTGGCAAATGTTAACGATGCCACTTCACTTTGGCCTAAAACTAATTCAGTTATTTTCTCTATTACATATTACATAGTCTCTTATCATGACTTCAACCTGTTTTCCAATTCAACCGTATCGGCACGTTTTCTTTTGAGTGTCATTCTGCTTTAGTGCTCCCAAAACGAAGGAAAACCCTGCGTTTTGTTACGAAGCGTTTGGAACGGAGTGCAAGCTTTGGAAATTTGTTGTCAAAACAGGGCTCGAAATAACGGCCGATCAACGATCAATGATCGGCATGAAATTGTTTTTGATCGGTGAAGAATCGACGTTGCCGTTCACCTTGATCGGCAAGAAATATATTTGAGCATTGTCTAAAAGACATGCTTACCTGTACACAGTAAAAGACAAATAAAAGTAAACATAAAACACATTTAAAAACACGCGAAAAGCTCTTGTTTAGTTGATACGAGTCATACGACAGGAAAGGCAGCAATACTATTCTCGCTCTAAAGTAATTAATTTACTTTTATTAAAACAAATTTACACGAAATATTGTCGTCTTTTCAACAGTACAGTCTGCAATCCGAACCGCTGATGACGAACGTATCTTTGTATAATAATTTCAAATTGATAGGATTTTTTGAGTAGGATTTTTTATTTTTGGTAGGATTTTCTCTTTTAATATAAAATAATAAGTTTTAGTTCTTAATTGATAATGCTGCTGTGTTTCTTGCTTTTGTGTGAAAAAATGCAATGGTATAATTAAAACTTGAAAAGTGTTATAATAAAATAAAGTTTATTAAGCACTAGTTAAATATAGTTACACTATTAGTAGTGTATATATAAGTCCACAAATGTCATAGATCTAAACTTCAATTTGAAATAAAGTTAAACTTCAAATTTATTCAATGCCCACTGGCATATTTAGAATTTTTTTAAGGAAATGAGGGTAAATGCTCCTGATCGGCCAGATTTTTATTTGATCGGCAAAAAGTCCTCATTGCCGATCACCATGATCGGGAAGGTTGCGAACGTTATTTCGAGCCCTGTCAAAATGAATTTTTTGGCCGTTTAGGTACTGTAGAATTTATAATGGACAAAAACCACGACTTTTATTTCATGGAAATGAACACGAGACTGCAAGTAGAGCATCCTGTGACAGAAATGATAACTGGACTGGATCTTGTAGAGTGGCAGTTGAGAGTTGCGGCTGGGGAGACTTTACCACTTCATCAATCTGATATTGATTTTAATGGCTATTCTTTTGAAGCAAGGATATACGCTGAAGATCCTGATAAGTAAGGCAACAGTAATCAGCTTCGTTTTTGTAGGGGCGCTTTCCATTAACACGGCCAGACCGGTCAGAACAGGTGAAATTGTTGAATGGAACACAAAACGTTTGGGCATCGGGCGGGACTCGGACCGATCTGACCGGAAGATCTGGATCAAATTAGATGGAAGTCAGACATGCATTTTCGCTAGTTATTTGAGAAACATAGCCCAGATCTTCCCATTAATACAGGCACCAGGGTGTTAGCCAGCCAGGCGGCCGTCCGACCGTCCTATGGACGGCCACTTCTGAATTCGGACGCCTAAATTTTAATGGACGGCCTAAGGGAATATTTTCTTTAAATAGCAATTTACAAGCTTTGTAATATTTCTTGAATACTTCGAATTGTTGTCATCTGCTGTTTACTTTACTTATGGTATATGTTTTCATACTTTTCCCCCTCGAAATCCCGTTGAATACGGCTGACTTGAAGTACCAACAAACACGCCATGTTTCTGTAACCATGTTGATGATTCTCGCATGAAGTATCAAGGAGAATAATTTGAAACCGCCGTTTTAAAAAACAGCAATCGCTTTATCGCTCGAGCGCCACTTGCTTAATACTTACAGTTACGGTAAAGATGGCTTTAAAATGAGCCAAACGCATAAAAAAGGGGGAAAATATCGGCGATTAACTAAACATTACACTGCTGCGTTGTGTTCTCATTATATACTGTACATCGTAGTGATCATATACGGTTCATACCATACGTGTGCTTTTACAATGAATAACTGAAATGTGCATCTAAAAGTAAAAAGGTTCAACGAATAGAACACCACAATTCCACAACAAAAAATTGCGGCCACGCCCAAAAACATGTGACCACGCCCACAAAATTATTCTGGACGGCCACTTTTGAAATCCTGGCTAACACCCTGACAGGCACTAGCAACACGTTCCTTGAGAGTTTGCATGGCGAATAATAAGAAAACTGATAGAAACTAGCAAGTTGGTACAAGCTTAAATTATTGTTAAACGGCACTATAGAGAATTTTAAACTTAAAATTTAACGAATATATTAAGAATAGTGCATGGAGCGCCCTAATTAGTTTGTTTTTGATGAGCCATGGCCGAAATGTCTCAACTTCAGACCTTTAAATATCGTTTCGTTATTCCATCTCAAATTCTCGAATCGCAGTCAGTTTGAAATGAATCTAATCGATGAACATTTTACTCTATTTCTCGTGTTGAAATTTACATTTAAATTGCATTGCAGTTACTGTTTCACCTTGTAACACACTCTTAATTTGCAACGTTCCCACTCGCTGCGTCCCTGACTGCAGTAATTAATAGGTATCGGCCAGGGGTTTTGGGTATACAGTATTTAATAGGCTTTTAATTTAGATATACAGTATATTTACGAAACGAAATTGAAATTATGGATATTTGGTATATTTAGATTTTGTAAATTTTTGGTATAAAGTTTACAAAAGTTGTTTTAAGCGTCTTTTCGGGTATTTTTTGACGATTTTTATGAGGTATTTGGTATACCCCCTTGCAGATCCCAAATAATATACTGTGCCTATACCTAGCTGTTGTTATATTTCAGTGACTTTCTTCCTGGTGCTGGTCCTTTAGTTCATCTTACGACACCTCCTCCATCAGAAGATGTGAGGATAGAAACAGGAGTTGTACAAGGTTAGAAAGAAATTAAACATAAAACCTCTTTATTCCAGTCGTTGATCAATATTAAATATAGATTCAATCAATTGAATATACTAGACAACAGCAATAAAATATAATTTTGTCGCATTTAGAAAAAAAAATTCAAAATATAGACCTTTTGCCCCAATTAACCATTGGAAAAAATGCTTTTAATTAAAGAAACTGGAGTTCATTATTGTCTCTACTGAGTAGCGGTTCATTTCAAGCATCAAAAACATTCACCTGAGTACATAACATTAAAACACACAAAAATATTGTCCTCTAGATGTTGTGCATGAGCTCATTTTAAGGTCATCTGCAAGTGGTCTACATATTGTAAACTATTTGCGAAAGTTTTGTATGGTATAGAAAATATTCACATTCTGTGAACCACTGCATGATTCCGAAATTCGGACTGGATAGAGCATCCACTATGTTTGATAAATAAAGCCAATGGTGGCCATATTGGTGTGAGCGCCGCAAATCTGCAGTGGTGAACAGGGTGGTGTTGTTGACATGTTAGAAGAGGTTCCTAAAGTTTCTCGTGATTGTTAGGAATAAAAAATTTGAGAGAAATTCGGTATTAGTCTCTTCCTTCTGAAATTTGCCAGTGAATCATTAATGACGTCACTCCAACATGGCTGCCCCAAGTCTCATGACATAGACAGATTTAGATCGAGGACGCGGACGTCAAAGACGACGTGAAATGGCGTCAAAATGGCCATACATGGACACAACATGCACGGGCACATTTTCACGTCATCTTTGACGTCCGCGTCCTCGATCTAACTATGTCTAATATCTGTTATGTAAAACGATCTAAAACTAATTAGAATGGGTGTGGGAAGAAGATACCCACTTGTTAGTATATCTAATTTAAACACGTAACAATTTGATTCGTAAAGAATATATCAATAAAATCTTCCTCCAACCAAATAAATATAAACGTTACTTGATACATGGTTTGGTTGGGGAACTAGTTTCAATGCATTTTGTAATTATTTTTAGTCAGTAAAAGATATGTTAAGTCTTTGTTCATTTTTCTGGTATTTTAAGGTGACGACGTTTCTGTCCATTATGATCCTATGATCGCGAAACTTGTTGTTTGGTGTAAAGATCGACCATCAGCATTACGATTATTAAGAGATTCACTGCGAAAATATAACGTACGTATTCTGATAGATTCATGTTGATATTCTAATAATTTAAAACCAATTCATAACATATTATCAATGGTATCATGCATAATGATGCTGGAATTAATACGTTCTGGAAATAATAGCGACGTTCAGATTTGACTACCGCTATACCACTACTTCTCACTGACTGAGTACGCATTGCTTAGCGGTATATTGGAAGTCAAACCTGAACCTCTCAACCAATGAAATGAAATAACATGCCGCTAAACCAGAAGTTGGCGATAAAAATCGCAGCCGAAGTCGCCCGTCTAAACAGTCCTTCACAGTATTAACTCTGAGTCAGTAAATACTTGTTAAATTATACTCATTAAATCAGCCTGACGAGATTCTATTAGTTTTTGTGATACTGATGTAGACATTTAAACTATTTGTAGATTGTTGGTCTTAGTACCAATTTAGATTTTCTAATAAATCTTTCAAGTCATACGGAATTTCAGAAAGGAAATGTCAATACAGATTTTATACAGGTATGACTTGTATCGTGACTTGTATATCAATCCAGTTTTATGGATCAGTGTGCATGAGATCCAAATCGTCCAATGTATATATAAGATTGATAAAAGTGTGTGTAAAATAGTATTTAATGTTTTTTGATGATCCACTATATTTCAACTTTTCATTTTCAGGATTATTATAAAGAATTATTTCCAGAAAAGAAATCGTTATCTTCAGATTTATTGGCGAGGGCGTCTATTTCGTTAGTTTTATTGGATATAAATAGAAATACCCACAAAAGTTCTGTTGGTATGTTTACTTGTTTATTTGCTGAGTTGTATGACAGAATTATACTTTGGATACAACGGAGCCACTGCATGTTTATAAAACATGACAAGAATATGTGACTCAAAGAATGTTGTGTTCTGGCCGAAAAAATCAATTTGTTCAATACATATACGTTAGTTCACGTTTTCGCATAAATCCCGAGAACACTCACAAAAATTTGCAGAACTGCCACGTGTCCCGCATTTAGTGTGAAAATCACACATTTCAATTTTGGTCGCGCACACATGTCGAAAATTGCCTTCAAATCACGCATTTTCAAAATTTCAAAATAATTTAAGACTTAAAGATTTTTTTCCTCAGAAGTCAGAAGATCACCTGTATCTTCTTCAGTTGTGTGAAAGACATTTTACAGCTCTTCGGCACATATTTTAGTCTAATTTAATCAATGAGTATATTGCCAATTCTGTCGTGGGGGAACTTTGGTCAAATCTGACATGTTGTTATTAGCTTTGTGATAAAATATGGCAGTAATGCTCCAAGCTGTGAGGTGTCGCACATTCCTATCTTCCGAATTTGACTGATCTGTTTGTCAGCAATCCCTAAAGGCAAAATAAGTATTCATGAGAGACACTAAAACAGTGGTGTAAATTCTGTCTGAGATTTGTGGGGGGAGCCTTGGTCAAATATTAGCAATTCTGTAAGAGAAGCACGTTTTGTGATCAAATATGGCAGTAATGTTCCAAGCTGGGAGGTGTCGCACATTCCTATCTTCCGAACTTGGTAGGTCTGACTTTGGTACCGTGGTTAAGCATTACTTGCGCATAGGATGAGATTAAGGATTATACGATTGTGAAAGACTGATTTAAAATAAGTGTTAGGGTGACCATCAAAGTTAAGATGAATCACTGAATTAGAGTTAGAACTAAGGGGTAGAATTGGGTTAGAATTAGTTTCAAGGTACAACGTCTTTAAATTGGAGAAAATTTATATAGAAATTGAGTCCTGCGTGTATTTATTTTCAGATAAGTTTTCACCATGGAGTTCATCATCAAGCTTTCGAGTAAATAGTAATTTATCAAGAAAACTGGTTCTGAATGACGGAGATTCAGGTGCGAATGTGAAATTTCTTTACACACTAAAACATATGTGATAAACAAGGACTATAACGAGTAGGAAGTATGGTAACCTTACAACTTTGTGAATGAGTTAACATCCATTGACTCCATTGCTTCGTCTGTAGAAAACCTTTCTCCAGCTGCATGGAGGAGGTCTTTTGAGCAACTACCCCATGACCCATGGACTATTCTTGGATTTCAATCACGTGATATTTCTGCTCGAGTGGGGGTCAATCATTGGACTGAGGTCAACTAAAACAACAAATAAACAAAATGGCTGTCAACGCATCTTTTGTGAATGAGTTCTCCGACCATTGTGTATAAAAGCCACTATAAAACAATATAAACAATTTAAAACAATATAAACAATATAAAACAATATAAACAATATAAAAGCCGTCCTTGACCCCCACGTGACGTACAAGTCACGTGTGTTTATTAGTCGCGCGTGCACACCAAGAAAATTGAATGTGAGGCTAGCGAGGGCTGAAGCGGACTGAAAACTGTCAAGCAGGACTGCTATGGCGCATGTTCAAAAATGTTCGCTCGTCCCACGCAGGCAAAGCGACAGTAATGGAAAACGGCATTTATTGTCAGTAATTACTTTGTTTACATTTCAGATGTTGAAATTTCGTTACGCTTTGAAGATGACGGTCATTATAAAATTCAGGTATGAAAGAGAATGAATATTTAAAGTTGCTATATGTCTGCATGGTTGTAGAACTGGGAACGAAAATACAATTTCAGAATTTTCTGTACAGTCTAGCTGGCTAAAACTAAAGTTATAAGTATCACTTTAAAGCCTTTTTGTGTATGTAAATGGTCTCTGTTGTTAATTGGACACAATTACAAGGTCGAAGAAGAGGATTCATACGTACACCTCTCTCTTCCGCAGAGCCACTTTAAGCATTAGAAAGAACTTACCGTTATAGCGCACTTTTCCCTCAGCCGAAACTTCATGTAAGCATCTGCTGTGGAAACAGTGCATACGCATAAGATATATAATATGCGACTATCACAGATCTGGTAAGACAACGAAATTCTTCCAAATTCAATTATTTTAATGTGAAGCACATAAAGTCAATTGTGACATTTAACAATTGTCCTACAAGCTCGAGTCGCGATGACGGTTTTATAATAAATATATACTAGACTCTTCTGTATGGCACACAACTTGCCGTAGAACATTCAAATGTCTTTGTAATGTTGTTTAAAATGAAATGATTTTATAACTTTACTGAAAACTTGACATTTCCAAGGCCCCTTAAATATCATAACTACACTTCCCGCGAATGTTTTTTTTTCTGCAATATTTATTGGGTACATTACATATATATAATTATATATATTATTAGATTGGTGAAGATGTTTTACATGGTCATGGAAGTTTAGAGATTGATGGTTCTCAGAAAACTGTCACAGTAACGATTGATGGTGTTATTTCAAAATTGTCTGTCGTAGAAAATGATGGTACTTTACATTTATTCTCTTCGGTAAGACGTTCTGCATGCCGGTATCTCATTCCATTTTGTCATCTGCTATACTCACATGGGAATGTAGTTGTTAGTAATAATCATCACACTCGTCTTCTTTGATTTCGTAAAGATTGTGAACATTTCATTTAGTATTTTTTTAATTTTTTCATTTTGTGCCCAAAGACAAGATCTTTTTGTTTCCTGAAAATATGAAACGAATCTCTCATTTCATTCTTATATCTTGACGTGATATTCATGTAATTCGTGACTTTGGTACAGTGATACGTTATAGATCGTTACAGGGGACAAACTATTCGATTATACATACATACGTTATAGTTTGTTTCAAGATTTTTTGGTACGTTTGTGCCGTTCTCCCCTGTAACAAATCCATCACTATTTGGAACAACCCACAACTGTATCTGTTATGAAGATGATTCTCTTATGAATTAATCTCTATGTGTCCATTGCTTTTTCAATGCTTCAAATATTAAATCTTATAATGACTGTAAAATATTAAAATATTAAAGTATTAAAGGATGAAAGGAAATATCATATATTATTTGTAGGAAGGACATTATAAAGTTCAGAGAATCGTCCCTGATTTTATAAAAAGTAAATCTGAAGCCATGAATCTTGGTGATGCAGTAGCACCAATGACTGGAACTATTGTCAAGGTTTGTCATATTAAATAAATACAGAGCATGAACCTTAGATTTACTTACCCCAATCAGAGGGGAGTACACTATCGTGTCAATTCCAGCCTCGTGCCCTTTACATGCATGCATGCATGCATGCCATCTGCTAATACCAGAGAGACAGACTATTTCTTTTTTTGAAGGGCATGCATGCATTTCCCTAGACTTGAATTGGCACAATATAGGCGTTGTTTGGGGAAGATATTATAAAGTACTGAAAGTCGTTATCTTGTAATGTAGGTGAACGTTGAAAATGGACAAACTGCGAAAGAAGGCGAGGTCATTATGATCATCGAAGCAATGAAAATGGAAGTAAGTTTCAAATTTTGACCTTCATAATCAAAGGTTAACTTAAATGTTTGTGTATTTCATAAAGTTTCGATTCCTCCCATGTTTAGTGAAATCGAGACACTATACCTGGTACGTTCTGGAAAGGTGTACTGTCTCTGTAGTTATGCACCTGATTACAAAATTCTGAAATTTAACATTGCCGCAGCCTAGACCTAGGGCCCTTTTGCCCTTCCTTCGCCCTCCCCCCAAATTGCCTAGGTTCGAGTCTTCTCGTGTGAAAAAGCGCTAAATATAAACAGAAGGCTCTAGCGCTAGACTGACATTGCCGTAGTTAAACTAGTTCCACCGTATTTTTCATGTGCCGAACCTAATACAATGAGCTGAACCATGAATTGTGTCGTTAATGTTAGGTTCAGCAAATATTAACGTGGGACTAACCTCAAATATAATTTTTGGTTTGTGCAATATTTGGGTCATTCTAAGAAGAAATGTCATGTATCTTCTTGATCAGCTTTTTCACTGTCAAAGTTTCATGATATGATGTCATTATGTGAATTTTTGTACAAAAAACAAAGGAAAACTAATTTGCAATTCATCTAATAACATCATATCCGGAAACTTTGACAGTGAAAAAGTTGATCAAGATGGGATTTTTTATTATAAAGATATATTACATTTCTTCTTCGAATGATCCAAATATTACACACACCAAAAATAATATTTGGGTTTACTCGCACTTTAATTAAGCGCGACATCTAAACTAGGCTTCATAATTCTTACGAAACACTTAATCTAAATTTTTTATTTCTTCAGCATGTGATCTATGCCCCTAAAGATGGAGTTATTGAAAACGTTCTCTACTCGGAAGGTGATACGGTTGAAAGAAACTCTGTATTAATTACATATGTAAAGGAAACAAAGGAGTAACAGACATAAATCTCATACTAGCTGTAGAAAATTAAATGAATGTATCCTAATAACATGTACTGTAGATATGATCTGCAGCATTTGATATCCAAAATATATATTTATAATCGATGTACTGTATGACATACATGAACTGTCCTTGAATTCGCGAGTGTATCACCAGTTTGAAGGCCACCACTCTAGTTCGCACAGGCAGTAGCAACACTAAAACAGTAAGGGGCCTGTCTTGCAGACCAGAAATGACACATTTAGTTTAAGGCCTACTCGTATGGTACTATTTTGCTCGGATGACAGGGAAGGCGAGAAAATTTTGATGCACCAGGCAAACGAAAGTCGAACGGCGATGAAAGCGAACAACATGGTATCTCCGGTTCATTGTTGAACTGCTTCTCCGACTATTTGAGCGAAAGACGTCGACGGAGTGTCATCCTCTTTTCTAAACGCATCATCAGGGGTGCCACAAGGCAGCGTACTCGGTCCACTTTTGTTCTTGATTTACGCAAACGACCTCCCAAAGGCAGCGAATCATAGCACAGTGCCCATGTTTGCTGATGACAGCAAATGCTATCGTCAATTTCAGGGTCACCGAGAGAATTCGCGGGGCCTGGGGCAAATCTTCTCTGGGGGGCCCCATGACATCATTATTCAAGCTATACCCAAGTCAGTCACCCAACTAGGCCTTAGCTAGACTGCATGTGGAGCTATGGAAGGGGCCCTCAATTTCAAAAATGCCCCGAACAATTTAAAGAACCTACTCAATTTTAGGCTCTTGCTCTCAAGTTGGGGCCCTATTAAGGTGGGGGCCCGGGGCAATCCCCCTCCCCTCTCGGCGGCCCTGATCAATTTACCCAACCACGAGATAGAGATCTTCTTCAGGATGACCTAAATTCCCTCCACCAATGATCTACGACGTGGGACTTAAATTTCAATATGCGAAGAAGTGTGTTGCCCTCAGATTTTCACGAAAGAAAACCTCCGTTCCACGTCAAGACTACTCCCTAAACCAGCAACTTATAAAGTTTTCCTCCATACAGAGCGATTTGGGTATCCTGGTGAGTGACAATTTAAAATGGTCCCAACACATCATCAATATCGTTTCTAAAGCCAACAGAATGCTTGGGTTTCGGCGACGCAATTGTTTCCACCTCACTGACGTGCTGCTCGTCTCTGGTAATTGGCGTTCGGTTGCGAAATCTGAGCTCCTCAAGGTCCGTCTGCTGATCTGCTTTATCTCGAAGGAATTCAACGTCGAGCAACAAAGTTTATTCTTCAGGACTATGAATTGTCGTACGTTGGTTGGTCGCTTGATAAAGCTGAATCTAATCCCCCTAGCTCTCATACATCGTATTCCTCTACAATCAGTATATTACCCAGCCTCTTCACCACTCCACTCGTTCCAGTTCTGGTGATCTTCGTCCAAACCTGTGCAAAACCTCCCTCTTCCGAAACTCATACTTCAACAGAATTGTATTTTTATGGAACAATTTACCGTCAGATATCAAATCCCGATCTTCGTCAGTCGCTATACATCTAAACTATATATATATATATATATTTTACACTAACAAGCCGAACAGTACTTTTGATATAGACCGTCCTAGAACATGGAAAACTCTGTTTGTGATCTAAACTAAGAAAATGCAATCTTTCTGAAGTGAGGATCGTGACTTATTTTCATGCTCAATATCATCCAAACTCCCATTTCCATCTCAATAATTTTTAAGAAACCTTAAAAATATCAATAATTCATGAGAAATACAAAAGAAATGAATGTTTAATCAATGTTTGTAAATCGGATAATTTGTCCTGATTTACATAAATTTCAGCTTTGATTTTCTCGGCTTAGATAATGTTTATTTTTAAAATTACTTCGCCAATGAACTCATAAGATGGGTCGTTTTTTAAGCACGTTAAAACATGAGCAGCCGATCTTTATCTGATATACAAACTCTCGCCTTCGGCTCGAGTTTGCATATCAGATAAACGAGTACATGTAATCGCCACCAAGAATTGTGTCGACAGAAGAGCAGAGGCCCTCCAACTCTAGGCTGTCAGAAGGTCTGTAGTTCTTGGTTCTGTCTAAAATTGTATATGATCTTTCATTCGAAACTTCCATAATTTTTTCCATAATTTTCAGTAAGATCCGTCATGTTAAAGCTCTTTTCCACCAACTCGCAAAAGCTCACCGTGAGTACTTGCATCCAATCACAATGCTCGACAAACAATTAGATGCAAGTACTGGCAGCGAACTTGCGAGTTTGTTTATGCGCAGAGCCATCTTTACATAGACATTTTTACTGTAAAGACTTACAAATGGCTTTTACAAACTAAGATAATATATTTGTATTTGGTATTTATACCAACAATATTCTTCGCATTCATTGTAATTATTTTACAAACATTTTATCCAGCGGGAATTTTAAGCTTTTCCCATGAAGATTGATCTGTAATAAGATCTGTAATAACTGTTGTTTGTTTATTTACAATAATGAGAATAGTCATTGTATTTCAAATATATACTACATAATATATTCTATTCATTTTGGGTAGATTTTCCTGTCCCTGATTGTGCCACGACATTATTGTTTTTATTCACTTTCTTGCCATTCTTGTCCTCGGTTTTCACAGATTTTTCTAAAAATTAAGAAAAAACATTTAATAGTGGAAGTACATAAAATAGATCCATTGCAGTTGACCTTAAAATGACCTCATCCAGCATGTCTGGAGATAACATGATAGATTGTGGAATGATGGATTGTGGAAACACCAGTTAATTCTTTCATCCTAACTAATATTTTGCTTTGGGTCAACAAAGCAATTGCAATGTGTGTGCCAGATTGTAAGTGTAATGAATAAACTGTCAACGAAGTCAGTGTGCGAACACTGGGAGCCCCCCCCCCCCCCAAATAATTTTTTAGAACCTTATTAAAAGTTTAAACGAGGTAACGAAGTTCATATACAGTACATTACACCATGAAAGCCTGATAACTTATTATTTAAGCAAATTAATGTTAAGCTTGATAAAAACTTTTTGGAAATGAAATTTGCAACATTAACCAAGCCCGATCCTTCTACACATTTTACAACTTTCGTGCATTCAAAAAAATGACAGTGTTACCCTCATTTCCTGATCTTTTTGCCCCTTTCTCCCCCTCTGAATTATTTCTCTTTTCTTCATGTTTGGTATTTCGTTTTCCACTGTTCCTGTTGTTCGTCCCTGAATGATTATTTCGTTTCAAATTACTTTGGTTATTTTCCCCAGAGTGTTTCTCATGCAATCTTGCACCATCAGGCCGTGTTTCCACACTATTTATCGTCCTTGAATTTCCAGGTTCTTTTTTCTCGTCAACAGGATGTCGCCAGTTTTCATTTATTCCTTTACGTTCTGGGCGGAATTTTTTTCTCATTAATCCAAGAGCACCATCACTTGATGAACGATCCCGTTGGTTATTTTGAGAATTTCTGCGTTCAAAATTTGGAGACAAGGAGTCTAAACATGATACAAGGCTGTCAGCCGAAAGCGACACGTAATATATAGTCCCGCATTAGGAACTGAACTTATCTATACAATAGTAGTATCTAACATTCGTATTCCCGGGTTTTACTCTGCATTGAATCACTGGTGTGTTTTCTATTTCCAATAATAGAGGTTCAGATTTGACTTTCACTACCGCTACCATTAAAGGACCGTTAACCAATCAGATGCGTTTGACATATCCGATTAACCAATCAGATGCGCACTAGGCCAACAAGAGGTAGCGGAAGTCAAATCTGCACCTCTCTAATATCACATCAAACTCCATCCTTCAAATTTATACTCAATTTGTCATTCTGTTGGCAGCTTTTTAACTAAGTTGCAAGAGTATTTTATGCGATAGTATAAAAATCCTAACGATAAAACCAACAGGCTGCCTTTTTTATCTCGATTATATTGCAAAAATAAAAGGAATTTTGGTAGAAATTTGTTGTTTGAAATGCTTGATATGGACACGTTCAGGCACGTTAGAAGACACAAGGTTTAAGGGCCACCACATCTTACGGGCACATTTTCTAGAAAAGAGCACTTATTCCATTGTTTTTTCCATATGATGGTTTGGAAACTAAACAGAAGTCATTGTGTTATGTTTTGTCTGAGTTTATGTTAATTTGTGCACGGTCACGTGATTGAGCTCATTGTACGTTCGTAAAGTAACCGTCCAAAAGGGATAGCTGATATGAAACGTGCAACCACGATAATATTTAATGAAGTTGGGACAAAGGATTTGTGCATGGTCAGGTGCAGTTCAACATCGAACAAACGTCTTCCATATCTTCCATTTTGTGGCTTTGAAGTTTGCCGGGCTTCCATAACATCATATCTTGATAGACTATGTTAGACTATGAGATAAAAACGAGCTCAATGATACATAATACCTGTCGTTCTTGCTCCATTATGGACAGAGAGATGTTTATCATCTTCTCTTTCTTCAAGAATTCCTCTCAAACCTCGATTACCTCCCTGCAAAAAATGTACGCAGGAAATGTATATTTCGTAGTCACGTCTAAGTTGTTTCAGTACGCTGAACAGAAGCTGTTTCAGTAAGCCTGAGGAACACATTTTCAGTGACTGATTACATCAAGTTTTACGCTTACTTTATATTATCTATTTAGCCTACACGCGTAAAAATTGAGAAAATCAACAACTTGTTGCAAGTTGATATCGACAGGCGTGAACAAGGTTGTGCGGCCCACTATGAACAGTACTGTCAACATGTTGTTACAACATTGTTCAACTGTAACAACTTGGAACAACATGGTGGACAACTTGTTCATAGTTGGCCGCACAGCATTGTTCACGCCTGTCGATATCAACTTGCAACAACCTGTGCGTTTTTAGCTGTGTAGACTATTTATCTTATGTTTATCCTAACCCATCCTGTCAACTTTCCATGTGGAGAACACCCTGCCTCGTCTCCAGTCGCACATTCCGCAATGAATGATGGGAATACATCAAGCATTCCCATGGGCATTTGCGTGCTATTGCTCCAACCCACAAGGGCCTGCAAGTTTGCGCCTGCCTTACCCTAATTTTTTCCAAAGCAAATTTGAGGAACTGTGGAAAGACAGGAGAAAACCCACGACTTTCGGCGTGTTGACTTTTTTTTCGGTGTTGGTTTTGTGTACTCAGGTGAATACGATGTTTGTGATGTTACTCTGAGTGTTGACTCTTATCACACGAGTGCTTTCAGAGTGAATGTTTTAAAGATGGAAAGTATCTATATATGGTATCTAGGACACTTGACATCCAAAGACAAGTTATACCTTGACCGTGTTCAGGTCTCTTGTTTCTATAGCTCCTTCGCCCATGCTGCTTGTCCGTATCCTGGGTCCCATGTCCATCTCTTCACTTCTGTTACTCGTGAATTCAGGAGCTATGTTCAAATCCCCAGCATAACTGTCTGTCGTGTTAGAACGATCTCTGCTGGGTGGCTCCAGGGGTAAGCCTGATAGGACAACATTAGGGCCACTCTTCATTTCAGCTAGGGAAGGCATATACGATGGACCAGTCTGAGGTGTTAGTCCCATGTTTTTTAATTGTTGTTCTAGACTCTCTTTTTCTTTCTTAATTCTTGCTACTTCCTAGAATAAATTTATATTAATGCTGACACGGCAAAGAACAATCACTTGGACTCGCCTCTTGCGCCGAGACAAGCGTTAAGTCGTCAGGAAAATACTTCGTGCACGCATAAACTGGCAAAAAAATCGCTCCTAATCGGACTGGAAACCCGAAGATACGAATTCGAATTCCGCTCAAGACAAATGAGTGCATGCATCTAGTTTTCGACATGTAGCGAATTCAATTCTAAATATCCACAGTACTAATGCAACAAGTGTTACTTATTATTTGCAATTACCAAAGAAACAAACATTATATGCAGTTAAAGGTGCAGAGTACCTATAAATTGTTAAAATTCACCCAAAACGGTTTTTGTATCTGCATGTAGCGCTAGATACTATGCTATCGAGTTGTGTGTGCGTTAAACACTCAGGTCGACTAATTAGGGCCGTACGCCTGCGAACAGGCAGTAAAACAAATATGGCGGCTTTCTCGCAGATACATGTACGCCAAGCGTACCATTTTTGCAATTTATAACATTTAACCAAATCTGAAGAAATTTTGAACGTCACAACTGAAAATATAGAAAGTGCGATAACTTGAGAATGAGATATGAAAAAACTGTAAACGTCATTCTTCATCACTCCAGCAGTGTTTTTAGAAAAACAATAAAAAGATGAGGTTAAATGTTCGTTTCATAAACACTTTAAATAAAATATGTTCGCTGCATTGGCAAGTCGCGTGAAGATTTATGCTATTTCGGCAGAAGAATTTATTGTTTACATCAGTATGTAGCCTACCGTTGGGACAAATTGCCAAAACAAATTACCTTTTCCGTAATCTTATGGTTAAGAGCTGCTGTACATTGGTATAAAAGAACCCACGCAAAAGGCAAACATTACCTAAAGTAATACCATCCAGCAAGCAACAACAAACCTCTAAATGGCTCAAGTGATAATTAAGCATCATCTTCGCATTGTCGATACTGTCACGTGTGCCAACAAACAAGAAATTCACTTCTTTCTGAAACCAAAAAAAAAGATGACAGGCTAACAAACCGCAATGCATAAATTGTTCAATACGAAGGTATGGTGGATCCACAGATCATAAAGTTGCAGTTTATTTCACAAAAAGTGTGCATAATTACAATACACAATAAATTTTACGTTTATTGCACTTTGTCCTAATGGCCTCGTTTCCATGTTTGCAAAATCATACATGACAGGCGCACATGCAGGTAATATCCCCATGTTGCTTGTACGAATACGTTTCTCTTTGATCTTTATCCAACCACAAACCTACCCTTAAAACCAGGCCTTAAAATATCGGTCGGTCACGGACATTGTCCGACCCATTAGTGAAATTGTCCGACGTAGAGAGGAAACCACCGGACATTCTGTCCAACCTAATTGAAACTGAGGTTTATGGTTTGTCCGACCTGAGTGTATTGGTGTCAGACCAAACTGTAGTTTTGTCCAACGTCAATCGATCAAAATGTACCCTATCCCATGACTAGAGGCTTGTATGTTAAGTGGAAAATCAGAGTACTATTGTATAAAGGTGAACTGGAAATGTTGTTTTAACGTAGTCGAAAACGGGCTCGAAGTCTTTTTTAATACTGCTGTTCTGGAAAGCGAGTTAATTTTGGCTTGGAAATAAGTATGACTTCACAACATTTACCGTTCAGAATTAATACAATGTGCTGATATTCATGTGTGCCATTCAGACTTATTACCGAGTCAAAACTGAACTGGAGGTCATCACACATATGTCCGACCCAAACTCAACGTCATCGGACATTTTGTCAGACGGCCCTGTAAAAGATATTTTAAGGCCTCCTTAAAACTACTGAGCACGAAACACGAGGGAGATGAAAACACAGTACAGTCTATTCATTGATTTACTGTATATTTCGAACAGTTTGAATCAATTGTGTATGGTATTTATGCACACTTTTCTCTTAATCTTATATTTGCTGAAAGTATCAGCTGGTAAGGATTCACAGATTACGTTTTCAACCAAATGATTAATTTGCATGCGATAAAATTACTATTAAAAATCATAGTGGAAGCGTGGAGATAAGTAATTTTAATATAGTGAATACGAGGTTCATCTATGAAATGAAGAAGTATGTAATTTTAATATAACGAAATATAACGAATAATTTCATATATGAAATGAATAATGAACATTTTGTGTAAGTTTAAAACATCTGGAATAATTGATAACTGAATTATATGGTGACTCGATATAGTCATCCCGAACACCCTACTCAAGAATCGCGAACAAAACCGGGTGACCATTTTTACGCGCAGGTCGCGAAAACTGATTAACGATCGAAATGAAAGAACTTCCAAAATGACCTGACGTGAGCAGTTGCTCGCGCCATCTCATGTCATTGCGCGTGTTCTATAGCGTTTTATGTCAATTGCTGACGTCATTAGAATTTTCCATTTTAGAAAAACAATGCGTTATATCTCTCTATTTTGTCTCGTGACCTATGTTCAAATTTTGCATGCTATATTGCACCGCTAAAAACTTTCATTATACAAAAAATAAAAAATTCTGTAATGCCAAAAACACTTTATCGAAGAGTACGACATTTTCGCATTTTCCAAAAAAATGGCATTACAGAATTTTTTTATATTTTGCTAATTGTTAGTTTTTCTTCCAAGTAAAATAATGTACGGAAAAAAATGGGGGGTCACCATGCTTCTTTTCCAACTATACGAGGCGATAGGCCATTTTTGAGTGAATTTCGTACACGTATGTCGTCATAGCAACGAACTATCTGTTACTAAAACTAATATACTAATACTATCTGTTACTAAAACTATATAAAAACCCCAATATCTGCTGAATAAATCCTATAAATGCGTAGTTTGAACATGTCAATATGTTGAACACCTGAATTTTTGAAAAGTGTATCGAGCCACCTTAAGATACAAAAATTAAACGCGTTATGAGTTGTTGTACATTCATTTGCTAATCAAGGAACTTACTTTAGCACATTTCGCTTGTTCTTCATCTGTCACAACACAATTTTTATTTTCTGGTGGTTCAATCCTCACACGAACAACTCCTGAACGATCAACAATGTCTTGAACAATTTTACCATTTTTACCAATAACTTTACCTTGAAGTGAAAATTAAACACAAGATCGGATCAGCTGTATGCTGGTGGATTCATCTGTGAACTCCCAGGAAGCGGGCGTGGGAAATGATCCTCACCCCAAGGATAGGCGTTTTATAAGAATAGCATCATCCAGTGTAGATCCAGTACGAGAGAGGACGGACATATATCCTCATAATGGGGGGAAAGAAACTCAACTGCAAGAACCGAAGCACGCCAAAGGAAAATTTTTCTAGCTACTATACGACTCAGAATGAATCATAGGACTTGCATGGGTAACATCTCAATTGATTACTGAATACACACATCAAACTGTGTGGACTTTTGTGGACTTAATATCGCAAACAGGACAAACATTTATTACTTAATTACTGATGGAAACAGCATGTTTTGTGGCCCTGAGAGGCGGTTGAGGGGTCACAAAACACACCGTGTTCCCAAGGTTTCAGTAATTAATGTGACGAGTGTTTATAGCAAGTGTCAAAGTCTCAATAATTCACCTGGTATTCCGAAACTGTAATAAAACCGACCGGCAGATATGATGAAACTCTTGAAAGAACTTTTGAACTTCCTGGTTGACGCGAACAACTCGCGCCTCACTTCCGGTTTTATTGTTGACCGGTCAATAATTGTTTCATTCAAACACCGGTCAATAATTGTTTCATTCAAACACCGGTCAATAATTGTTTCAAACAGAAAAATTGAACTTTAACACTTGCTATATAACAAAACTGCTTTCGTTACCAATGTTTGTTCAAATAGTATTTTGGCAAAAATGACACATCAGACGATCGTAATTATCTTAGATCGTAAATCAACTAGTTGTTCTTACCGACAAATGTCTTTGGGACAGCGACTATTTCCTCAGCAAAATCCAGAAGGCTGACTGCTTGTTTTATACATGCCTCGTTCTAAAATAATGCAAACCAATCAATCAATTAATCAGTAATATACATCAAGTAATTTATGTGTATGCAGCAAAATATGCTGATGTGGCTATCTAAGAACTCAAAATTAAATTAATTAAAATCATGCATATATACATACAGAACAGAAATTAGAGTGTCAACAATACAAAGAGGATAAGAGGACTGAAGTTGCCAACATCATACACCCTATCTCGATTTCGAGGAACTGAGACGTACAGTAGTCGAAGGACTGAAGCAATTTAAAGACTATTTTCCACTCATGGCAAAAACCAACTATATAAGCGCCCTGCTTGCATCTAATTAAAATAAACTGTCGAGCATTGTGATTGGATGAAAGTACTCATCTACGTGTCTACGATGATTTCCGGTCAAACGAACATGAGAGTTGGCAAGATGTTGATGATGTAGTTGAAACTCGCGTTTGACCGACATTCATACACTCAACTTTGAGCTGGTTCAAATTTTGATGCGAGTTGATGAGAGTTTTTGTTGCCAGTTTGACCGGAAATATCCAGTCAACTCTCATCAAATCTCACTCCTGTTCTCTTCTTGTATCCGGGGCTTAAAGTTTGATTAAAGACATTACATGTAGTTATGACGCAATCTTTATCCGATAACGTAATTTAAAGTGTACATTTGTACATAACTTCAAATGTTTGAGACTGTTTTTACGAGTTGAGCGCGAAGTTAGTGTGTTGTATCTGTTATTACTTATACCAAAAGCTAATAATACATCTTTTATATCTACATATAATTACATCCTCCTCCCCACCGACTTGGCCTGTATCAGTTAGCCCTGCACCCTCCTTGTAAGAATTCCAAGACTATACACCTTTGGATCTTAAAAAAGGCAGTGCTTCAGGCCCCCAAGTACTCACTTCTCCATAAATATGAAGAGAACATTTTTCCTCGTCCACTTCAATAGATCGAATTCCAGGAAGTTTTCTTGCTTTCTGGATATTGGCTCCCTGTGCACCTATAGCAAGACCCATCAAATTTTCTGGAAGTTTCAATACCTCGACAATACCAAACTGATTTTGAGCAAGCTAAATAGAATAAGGAAAAGTTCAATACATTGTAATACAGTAGATTGGCAAATATGGGATATGATATGGAGTAAGGTATTTTTCCAAAAGTAGACGTAATTATTTTTACGTCTAGTAAAAGTAGACGTAATTAATAGGTATTTTTTCCAAAGTAGACAAAAACTAGACATACACACGTTTATGGCCGCTGCACTACGAGGGGCGTGCTCCATATTCGATACCGGTTAGGCACTTTCCATAATTTACCCCTCAGGGGCCGGTTGTTCAAAGCTGGGTTAGCTTCACCCTGGGTTAACCTAAAATCCAAAGCAAACTTCCTGACAGCTTGTCTATAAAGTTGGAAATATTTCTTCGGAGATCTTGTCTGGATCGATATGAGTTTACTTCTCTGACGTTTTGAAATAAACAGACGTGCAGAAATATACAAACCAGAACAGCAGGTTAAGTTTTAACCCACGGTTAGCGCTAACCACCTTTGAACAACCGGCCCCAGGGGTATATTATGGAAAGTGCCTAACCCCTCCCATTGCGATGATGAAGCTCTGATCCTTTCTCCTCCTACTGCGCAGAGATATAGTGTGTGAGAAATTTGTTGATTTACCCTATTATCCATAATGGAACCGTTTCATTAAACCACACCTACAATCTTAGATCCGGGAAATCCGAGGAAGAAATAAAGACACAAACTGATAGATTTGGGTAATGTGGGGACATTTAAGTACGCGAACAGTAACTACACCTGTAAACCCCTTACTCATTTTATAGTACGTGTATTTTGATTAAATGTAAATTAGTTTAATGTTAATGCTTTTAAATTTTAAAATATTAACTCATTAGTTGTAATTATTGACATTGTTCGATATCTAATGTAGATGTTTTAACATATATAGATATTATATAACCTGTAATTCAGTTTCTATATATACTGCAAGAGCTTTTTAATAAATTATACTATATTATATTTCTTAAATATACAGTACATGACTATCATACCTGCAGTTGACTGGCTGTATCGTTTATCCAACTCTGTAGTAAAAGTCTCGTTCTTAGACTTCTAAAGTGCATCTCACTGAGAACTGCTGCTTTCTTTACTGCTTTTTCTGACCGAGACTAAAATTACACATTACATAATACATTACGTACAAGTACAAGTTAAGTCACGGTTAAGCGAGAATGAGAGTTGATGAAAGTTGCAGTCACGAATTGTTACAGAAGATATTTCAAGCTCTAGATAAACAAAATAAAGGTTTGATGAGTTTTCCAACTACGTTTTAACTAATAAATAAATACATGATAATGTTGAGAAAACATTAAGAACAACTAACTGCCAACTCATGTTAATTATTATACAAATAATGAATGTTTATGAGTGCAATGGTAAGAATATTTTCATGAGGTGAAAGATGGAATGTTCCATTCAACGAGGCGACAGCCGAGTTGAATGGAACATTCCATCTTTCACCGAATGAAAATATTCTTACCATTGCACGAAGAATTTAATAAGGTATTATATAAAAGTATCTATATCACTCAATTACTATATATTTCTACCGTAGTGTTTGACTATGAGCATTTATCTGTATCTTGTATTTCGTGTGCTGCTTGTACATATTTTGTATATTTATTTAAACTATGACGGGGTAACCCAATATCCAATAAGTCTTTTGGCTTCTATTTGGGTTCCCTCGCCACAAATTTCTACTTTTTTAATTTTTTTGTTTTCTTTGTGTGTTACTTTTTGTAATTTCTTTTGTGGCAAAATTATTAAATCAATCAAATCAACTCTCATCCTCGTTTGATCTAGGCTTTATAATATTTATCGCGAAAGATAAATTATCGAGAGAAATTTGTCAATTACGACAAATTTAACTAACCAAACAAATTAGATTTGCAAGATCTTCATTATAGACCACCAACCCTACACCACTTTGATGTTTGAACTCTCGGTGGACATTTTGATCTTTACATCTATATCACACAAAATAATACATTTAAACTCATGCCGTCGGCAAGCAGAAATGTGTTAAATAAAAGCAGCAATATAGACGTTGGTTAACGAGGGTGAAGGTTGCAACATGCAGGCATAGGTCTATATAGAAAATATTTTTCTTCCTGCCAGCAAAATCCAAAAATACAAATTCCCTGTGTAAACCAAATGCATATAGCTTAGCTAGGTTTCAGATAATGTGCTGTAGTATCACCATAAATCTCCATGACAATTTGATCCATTTGGAAGTTTAAATCAACAAGCAAATTGTATGGCATTTCAAAGTAAGATAACAAAAATTTCCTGCTTGATGTAAGAACACACTTCCTGCGAAGATATTTTGTTAAAAAGTTCCTGTGCTGCCAGACATTTTTCAGCACCGGTTTGCAATCACCTCCTTTGAATGACAGCTCTGAAAATGGTTTTTCATGCAATCGTGAAATATTGATAGACTATTGTGCATATTTGTGCTTGAATATGTTTGCAATGTATATCAGTCACGTTATTGTCTCATTAAGTTCTGTCGTTCACACGTATGTGTGTTATTTATAAATACACATTTAGATAAAGACTTACATTTGCTGCAAATCTTGAGGTACATCAATTATACACTTGCTATACATTGATCTGTTAATTGCTTCACTGAAAAATTAATAGAGATTTAATTAAACTTGTTGACCAATTGTTGAATTACAGGACGACAACAAGTTATTGGAACAATCTGTAACAAGTAAGTTGAGCTCAACAACCTTGTAGCATGTTGACAACAAGCCGTTGACAACTTGTCAACAAGCAGTGCGAACACACATGCTGTTGACAAGTAGTTAGAACAGCATTGCTACAAGTCTGCTGCAGGTTTGTTACAGCTTATGCATAATTGTTACGTGTATAGTCAAGCTGAACAAAGAAGAAAACTTACTTGGGATTACAAGGTCGTATTTTCTCTCGAGGTACAATTTCATTGAAGGATGAATCCCAGCCAACATATTGTACGACGTAAAACTACAATCAAAGAAATAATTGTTTTAGCATAATGTAAAAGACGTCACATGTATTTAAATTTGCGTAGTACAAATAATCAGTTTTATCCAGTCTTGCGAGATTTAATATTGCGCACCTCAAATGTCAGTGATATTATCACGCGCAGTTTACCAACGTATTATAATGGCCAATACATAATATAGACGATTCTATTAATTACTTGCATGTCTGACTTTCAGTATTTTGTGTCACAGTAGCAGCCTTTAATAACTGGAACGGGGATGTTTCGTGCGTGTTGCATGTGCCAAACCCGGAACGAAACAAGACCACCGGAAATGAAACAAGCGACACGCAAACAGCCAGAAAAATCAAAACAGAACCAGAAAATAAATTTTCCGTCATCTTCGTTTCGGCAGTTCTGGTGGTTTCGCTCGTTTCGTTTCGGTGGTTTCGTCCGTTCTGGGTTTTAGCACACGCCGCATATGGCGACTGTTTATTGTTCACAGTTCAATGTGACAGCTAAAAGGTGGGCGAGGCGAAGGAGGCGACAGGTACAGTACGTGACAGCTGACTTTACATGCAATGCATCAGCGTTACTGCATGGTAATCAACAAATATCAGGGTTTGGGGTATGCATCTCACTCGATAGTTGAGGGGTTTTTTGTAGATAGAAATTTCGTGAGTGATTTTCGACCTGACCAAGAGCTGACAGATGGCCTGTAGTTTTCGTAGTTGCTCCTGGTTTAGCCTAAAATGTATTTTCTGTAATTTCCACTCGAAATTTTCATCTACAAAAAACATTTCAACATTCACGCAGTTTTTGCTTTCGGACAACATTTCAGGCCCGCAATCTTTTTTCCAATTTTTAGTATAGGGACATACATTTAATGCGAATAATGGACATATACAAATAATATTGACTTATAATATAAATTGTTTAGCTATATCAAACTACATGGAATTAATCATACTCAAAAAATACAAGCAAAATTCACAGCACAAGCATTTGTCAATGAAAGTTACTTTCAATACAGATGGGTTCAAATATTTTATATGCATCCTTAATATTTTAAAGCTTTCTTAGACTCATTTCTGTGACTGAAACTGAATAAAATTTCTGAACCTGAACGAGAATATCAATACAGTCTTATGAATACACGATACGGTGTTGATTTCATTTAGTTTTTCGTTTGTATGTTTTATTCCTCATCAGTAGATGAAAGAACACTAAGAAGAATTTCAAAAACAAGGTCCACATATTTCTCTGCAGTTTCTTCTGTCACACTTGTGGTGATATACGAAGTAGACCACATAAACACACCATTGAACGTTGCCATATGATTCACAAAACTCGCTCCATGTTGATACGCCCCAGAACCTCCAAAGACACTCTCAATCTCATACGTCTCTTCTTTCATCCAATCAATCTTACCCAGGTTAGTCAACGAATGCACAGGAGACATCAATTCTGGTTGCTTCATCTTTGAATGCAGAATGAATTCCGAAACAAACTCTTTGGGATCAACAAGATGGGAAATTGGTAGAAGATAAAGCGAGAGTAGATGGCGACCATTTCTGATTCCGTTATGGACCTCCTGAGTGCACTGCTTCGCAAATTTCCAGAACATTCGAGGGTTACCTGTATTTATATCCGGAACATCAACATTTTCCATGAGTACTGTAGTATACGATCCCAAATCATCCTGCTGTATCCTTGGTACACATTGATCTCTAACATTCACTGGACAATACCATCCAAATCGTACAGGGTCATTCATTCCTTTTATTTTACCGCCTTCAAGAAGTTTTGCAACAGCTAAGTCACAACATGCTAACATTGCTCCATATACTGTGCAAAAATTTCTTCGACAAAATGTAATTAATTTTTGCGTATTTTCTGCGCTCAACTGGCGGGAAATAATCTTAATTCTTTCCTGCCCAACCGAGTTAATTCCTGCAAACTTCGAAAGAACTGGATTCTTGACGTCAAACGTAAGATTAACACGCATCGCAAATTTCACTAAGTATACTAATACACACTCTGGTAACAACCACTGCATTATTTTGAAATGTAAGAACTGTCTTGGAGCTAGTAAAGTCATGACGCCTGGTGAAATACCTGTTTTGAAACCATCTTTATTATTCTGGATTCCTTTAGAAATTTTTTCCAAACATGTTACAAATTCTTGTGCAAATTTTAAAACCGCCAAGCCGTCCATTGTTCCATGATAAAAAGTAAACAAGAGAGTATTACTATACACTTCCCTCACGGTATCGTATCGCTCCTTCAATATGCTCGTACGCCACAACGGTCCTGCTTCACAATCGAATTTCGTTTGCACTTCTTTCTCCCAAACTGACACCCAGTCCTCGACACTCACTTTGGTTAAAGTCACCATATTTTTGTCATTTATAACACGCAAATACTTCACAACTTTATTATGACGATCACCTTTTCGCACAATAACAGTCCGAAGTAGTGGATACTTTTTCGAAACGCATTTCAGGGCATTGTATACATGATCATAAAGCAGAGATGATTTTGACTTGAGATTAAGACCACAACACATGTTTGCGCCACCAAGTGCATGAAGCTCATCCAGAACGGACTCAAAAAAATCCATTTTCCTTTGACTCGTTCTTTGTTCTTCGACGTTTGTTGATATCACAAATTCTTTTACGATAACATAGATCAACCTTGTGATAATAACTGCGAGAAATAATGCAATCCCTCCAGCTACGATTCGAGACAAACTGTCACATAACATTGAAAACAAAGCAAAGGCAGTCATTGTCGTTACCAAATGTGACTTATATATAACTTATACCGATATCATCAGCAAATACTTTAAGAGCATACTGCATATATACATACATCGATACACGGATTTGTTTTTCGTATCAAGCGATATATCCTATATACAGTGTCAGTGGTTGTTTAGTGTAAATGACTAAAACGACACAAAGTCGTTATATGAGTTTGTCTTCCCAGTGACATTTGATATTGCATGTCAACTATGCGATATACTGTCCAATTAAAGGTCATTAACACATACGCTTTAAAAAGAAAACAAAAGGGTTTATAATACATATTGCAGATGCTTGACTATTTCCTTAATTTGAGAGCTAATGAGTAATGATCTATTGTCTTCAGCCTTGAAGTGCTTCTCACCTCCATTTGACAAAACGATTTTCCTTTTTTGCAAGTCTAATAATTCATTTATCCAAATAGCAAAAATCGCTTTGGCCATGGAATCCCTGAGTAGTGGCCAGCGGGCAAATGTTTGTCTGGAAAATTTTAACTTTATTATGCACGCAGGTGAAAGTTTATACCTATGAAAAAACTGGATAAATAAAAGACAGCATTTAGTTTTGTGTATGGTTTATTGTGAATTTGTTGAGGTTATTAGTATTTATATAAAATTTAGAACGACTTAACCTTCTCCCTGCGTACACGCACGTATGAAAAACGCTTAACTAGAAAAGCAGCCTTGGCTTGGTCGATAAAATTTGTCCCGTGTCGTCTAGATGCATGGCCATGCCCAAGGGGCTGTAATAATCGTTTAAAAATGAAATTATACTTCAAAATATATTTAGACTAGATTTGGTGACAGGTACAATGCGAGAACTTTGAACATCGCAAGAAAAAACTCGACATAATATCATGTCAGTATATGCCTTCTAGCAGAGTTAAAAGACGTGTTTACACTGTCTACAAGTCTAGGCCTGACCTTGGTTTTTCCACACAGTCACAGGCTTAAAAGTGTTCACAATTATGTTTCGAAACCTTGAGCCTTTTTAAAATACTGTAGAGCAAGTGAATGGAACATTCCAGTCATTGGATCTTGACTGGATGGCACTACAGTAATGCTAAGGTGTGGGCATCGTTATATATTGACAGAAAATTAACCATCTCAATAGCATTCTCCTGTATATTTGTTTAATACTAAGGCTATGTTTACATTGTATCGGATACATTCACTGGAACATGACTGGATGGCACTACTGCATCTCAATAACATTCTCCTGTGTTATTATTAATACCAAGACTCCGCTACTTGTGAAGAAAATTTGAATAAAATGTAAATAGACTGTAGCAAACAATCGCAAGCTTTGTGGAAGGCTGAGAAATGTAGCTCCAAATTGAAAGACATTTTAAAGGGTATTTCATGTTTTCTTTGTTCTGTCCCCTAATCAAAATTTTCACTTTTTGTCCTTTAAGTAATTCGATAAAGCATGAGCGGCCGTGTTGTATCAGCACAGGTATACAAACTCGAGAGGTTCAGTTGTATGTCTGATACAACACGGACGCGAATGCTTTATATAGCTTGTGAAACGTCTCAATGAGAACATTCGTATTCTTCAACAATTTAAAATGAATGAATGATATTTGGTGAGAAAATTAAACTTAAAGTATAAAATCAGCATGTTTCTGTATCAGATATACAAACTCCTTCATGGTCATGATTTTTCTTGTGTTTTCTTCATCAATGTATTAACGAGTCTCACAATTATACTAATACAACAAGTAGAAATGGAAAAATGCAAATTCATGCATGTATTGATTCTTAATTTATATTGTGACAGATTGTGTTGTATTATGATACATTGTTAACTTTCTCAATTTATAATGTGGCAATGATACGCAGATGTTACCAACACCCTATATTAGGGACCGGTCATTAATAATGGGAGGAGGGGGCGGTGGGTGATAAATACCAAATATTGAACATTTTTTTAGAACCGCCCCGATCGCAAGACCTTTATTTTCAAGACGCCCCCACCTTCATCTAGAAAATTTAGGACTTCCCCCCCCCCCCCTCAAACTTTTAATTCGTTACATTTTTTGGTGTAAAATAGGTAATGGAACAAGTACTGGTGTAAGACATTGTGTAGCCTAAATAATTAGAGGACCAGTATTCAAAATGGTTGTTATTTACTCCGACTTCTATGAATTGCATATACGTAATCAACTATGGAAACTACGATTATAGAAACTAAAAAAGGTGAATTATTTTGTGGGATACGATAAAGGGGAGAGATTAAAAATGAGTAGGAAAGTATTAAAAAACTGGGGTTGCCCCTTGTCACATATTTTCCAGTTTGAGGCCGCCCCCAATTCAGGCAAAAATAGTTGAAGCCGCCCCCCTTTTCTCACCCACCGCCCTCCCTCTCATTATTAATGACCGGTCCCTAAAAAGCATTTGCACACATCGTCCGCTATAAACACTGGTGCAGGATTCGTTTTCAGGATAATGCTGTGCGCCGGAGCCGGAGTTCTGCCAGAGCTCCGGCGGGTTTTCCGACGCCGGAGCAGAATTTTGTGTGCCGGAGCCCGGAGCCGGAGTTACGTTTTCCCAACTCCAGCAAAATGACAAGAAAACAATATGAAATGAGACAAATGTCAAACGATTGTTAGTCATTGCAAAATGCCAATTGATGTTAATGAATTCATCATAGACTCAAACTGCCACAGCCCACAGGAACAGCGTCATCAGTGCCTTTTTTAACTATATATCTGGGGGGGGGGGCAATTGCCAGGGAAAGAATTCCCCCCCAGTAAAACCATTTCTGCCCCCGAAGGGCGAAGCAGAATTGCTCATGATTGCTGTCAGAATTGCAGTTGATTTACTTGATGAGATTATGCCCTTCCATAGCCTCCTCCACAGCCATCTTGTGTGTAATTCATATTGTTCTTCACCGAGTATTTCATAATAGCGATAGATTTCATGCAAACAATCCGATAAAATGCTAGCCTTTCCAAGCCTTGCGACTATTTCCTAGCACTCTCCTCTGCAGAGGCGTTGTGTTTTGTTTTGGGAGTTTTATTGCAAAATTTTTTTCTTAAAAATATCAAGTTATATAAAGAGCCCCCCTCCCCTCCCCCAGTCGCCACAAAAACCATTCTCTCAGAAAGGCTAAATCCGTAGAGAAATTGGGGAGGGGGGGGGGGTACACGTTACATGCTCGAAGCTGAAACTGATTAAGTACGTCTCGACTGAGGAAAAAGACGATATACTGGAGGAACTTGATTTGTGAAATCTCGTTAAAGCAGTTGTAGATATGGTTCCAAGAAGAATAGATTTAGTTTAGATTTTTAACTGTTAAATACATGTATGCATCATCATAGCATGAATATTTCTTCTCAGACTTATTTCTGTATCGTATGAAAAAGCAACACAATTTTTAGAATGCGGAAATGGTATCTCATAGAACCCTAAATGATGTAAATGCAACATTTCTGATCAAAATCACATTGGGAACGCCCCCCCCCCCGGCATCACAGAGAGGAAATAAAGTGACACTGACCCCTACTCCTATTTTTCAAGGTGACTTTTTCAATTTATTTATTCCGAGTAGAAATGTCTGGAAAAATTCATGTCTTCGATGCACTTTATAATGTTCGGAATTCTGCTAGATTTCACCCCCAAAATGCATGAATCGCAATTCAGGGACCCCTGGATTTCATAATTTTCCGGACCCCGGACCCTCCTAGATGGTCTCACGCCTTCGGCGTGAGGTTCGCCCCCACAAAATTAAGGTTTGGCTACGCCACTGGTTATAGCTGTACGATTATAGCTACAAAGAGTTGAACTGGTTATTGTTTAAAGTAAAATACAGCTGAAGTTAATAAATTAAAGTTTTACAAAATCTCTCTTTAGACTCGCGCCAGTCGCGCGTTCGCCAAACCTCGACGGCTCAAATTTTTCGTTCTGCCTTTTTTCTGTTTTGGTAGAGAATTCCTTAAAAAAGGCACTGAACGTCATGCTTTCGTGAAGCCATCTGACTTAGCGGTACATAGTCTGTGTATTCATGCCTTGTAGATAACGAAAAAGTACGAAACAAATAAATATCAACCTTTTGAAAATGACAGAGTACTTTGTTTGCATGCGAACAATTGCGCTGTGGAGTCTAAGAGTGTTAGCGTCATGCCTCGCGTCATGCTATCGAGGCTGGTTTCCATATAGATATTTTCTGCGTGGTTAAGTGTTTTCATTGTTTTGTATGCTGAGTTATGTTTTCTGATAATTAGGAGTTTGTAGACAGATTTTGCAGATTAAAGATGCTGGAAGTGCGAAAAAGGTTACCTATAATAATATTAATAAATTTTCTCTGATCGTATTATTTATTTAATATTTTATGATGTGGCCGGAGCCGGAGCTCAGAGCTATAATTCGGCCGGAGCCAGAGCTGAAAAACCGGAGTTTGCACAGCACTATTTCAGGATCCTCAAGAAACCTTAAGATCCCTTTGAACAGGATCCTGCCAGGATTTTAGAAAAAATCTGAAAGAAAATCTTCCATGATTTGATCCTTGACCCTGAGCCTGCATATCAAGAATCCTCATCAGAATCTCCAAGGTCTGTTAAGGATTGCTTCTTTGCACATCCTCACATGATCCTCGAGGTTTCTCACCAGGGAAGACTCTGCCCGGATCAAACGAGAGTGCATGAGAGTTGGCAGTCACACGATCTTCGTTAGCTGTTCTTGATGTTTTTCCAACACTATCATGCATTTTATTTGAGTTACAATCTAGTTGGAACACTTATCATGTCTCATGAAACCTTTATTATGTTAACCTGGAGCTTGAAATGTCTCCTGTAACAATCTCATCAACTCAGGCAACTCTCATTCTTGTTTGACCGGAACTTAACTCTTGGCCGGTAAGCTAAAATAAACTTAATTTATGCATGCACAGATAGTCTTCTTTAAGGCCCTGTCACACTATTGCGTATCGTACTAGCGTATGAAAAATATCTCATACGCCGGTATATGCCGACATACGCTAGGGGTACGTTAGGCATAGGTTGTATACGTTTCACGTACGGTGGCATACGGCGAGGCAGAAAATTTTTTTTAAGCATGCTCAAAAATTTTGTGCGTATCGGACGTATGCTTTATACGATAAGCATACTCTAGGCACACGCTGAATACGCTAGAGGTACGCCAGATGTATGGTACTCATACGCTGGCATTTCAAAGAATTTTTGTGCGTGTGAAAATTATTTCATTAATTTTCATACGCTTCTCATACGTTGCTCTCATACGCAATAGTGTGACAAGGCCTTTAAGGAGTAAAATTCCTAGTGTTAAACATGTAGAGAGTAAAATATATCAGTGAGTACGGTACCTCTCCTTTCTTTGACATAATTCTTGCCAACCACCAACAAAAGGGATCATTGTCTTGTGCTTTTGAGAGGACCTATTAAAGTTGCACGAATGAAAGTCTTTATTCTTATAGATATTATTCTTATATAGCTACTTTATTAAATGCAAAGTCATAGAAGTCTTTCAAACCCCAAACTTGAAAATTATCTTTCAAATAAATTGTTTGTGTGGGGCATGCATGTCCAGATGTATATTTTATATTTGCAAAGGTAGCCAATATTGGAATGCAGGTAGACATGCATGGAGGACCTGGGACTACCAAGTAAACCAAAACTAGTACCCTGGGGACAAGAATAGAACCTGAAATCAAACTGTGTGCGACTCAGGTATAGATCCTGCCCAAATAGCTTTTGAATTTGGCTCAATAGCTACTTTAGCCTTAGTTTTAGACTATTTTTGATCCCTTGATAGCTATTGACTCCAGGTTTAGATGACAGCTAGCTTCACTTCCTCCATACGGTTTTGGAGTAACCTGCAACTCCAGAATTCGTGAAGGTAATATCGCTCCATGGCTTCTCCCAGTCCCAGGGCTCAAAATAATGGCCGGTCACTGGTCAATGACGGGCCAAATGTTTAATATGACCGGTCAAATTTCTATGACGCCGGTCATAGAAACCGACCACATTTTGTAAGAATTTTCTTCGTATTAAACTTTTCATTCGAATTTAAGTTGTTGAATTTCTTATGCCAACTGCTGGTCAGATAACTTATAATAGACCAAATTAAGATATGGCGAAGTTTATATTTAAAACTTTAATTGTGTTATAATTATACTGCGTGCATCTCGGCATCAACAGAATCGACAGTCACAACTGAAGTTGAGAGCGCCACGAGCTGAAATTTGATCGTTGCTTAATGCATTGAGTGAGGTCTCGTGGGAGTTGACGGGCAGAAATCGCATTTGACTGCATGGTCGCAATTGGAACTGACCGGTCACCATGACCGGCCGTAACATGAAACGTTATTTTGAGTCCCGCCTCTGCACCCATAGTGTAGGGTAGACGTAAATATTTTAGTGTAGAGTTTTGAACTATAACCAGGCTTTCTAAATGCATGTGCAAATTATGCTCGCGGTAAACTGGGTTTTCCAAGACAAAAGCTTGTCAGGAAAGTTCACTGTTTATTGATGATGTGCTCGTAAATCGTAACGTAACCAACTACGTCACAAATATACCAACTGGACCACAAGATAAAATATGTACCAAAAAATACTTTTCAATTAAATTTGTTATTATCGCCAGTACAAGAATACTAAAGCGACTGGTACCAAAGAAAACTGACTCGCTTGCTTAATGAAACACCGAGCACGCGTACAATAGGTTCTAGGGTAACGAGATTTCTTTAGGGAAACCAGATTGGGTTACCACTAACGCGGCGGTAACCCGGATATGATTATTTATTGGACTAGTATCCCAAAGGTCGCGGGTTCGATTCCCACCGTGGCCAAGCTAACTTTTCAGCTTGCCCGGTGTGGATGCACACTCAGAGTAACATCACAAACATCATATTCACCTGAGTACATAACACCAACACACACAAAATAACCATACTCACATACTGTATATATCGTTTATCGCTTCCTACTCTGGCACGTACTGCACATTCAACACTTTATCACACAACTGTAACCATCATTTTTACTTATTTTTCGTTAAAAACCCATTGTGTGGCAGCACTCTCCCATTCAAGAGTTAGACAGAGCAGAATTATAGTAAGCAGGGCACACTGATCAGGGCACATTAATTGTCACTTATAAACAGTTCGTTAACAGGATGCATTGGTAGATTGATTAACCCATCGAGTTGGCAGCAGTCTCCTCTGATGGGTAAAATCATCAAAGTTGATATGATGTCAACAGCAATAAATAATGGATGATTAATGATATAGGTTTATATACAACTATATTACATAATTTGCTCTGAATTTTGATGCATGCAGGGGGACCATGCAGGAGTCTGCAACTGGCCAAGCCAATACACCCATCCAGAAAGTACATCACCTTGGCTATAGAGCCTCGTTTTCGCGTATGTGACATCAGAGAAAAACTAACATCTCAATCAAGAAAACAAAATTCTACAGCCAAGGTGACATACTTTCCAGAAGGGTCTATTACAGCAATCCTCCTATAAGAACAACAATAACATTTTTCAGATCCACGAATATCCCTAGAGATGCGCAGAGGAGGCTAAATAACATATCACAGTAATATTAATTAAAATATAATTGATAACATTAAAATATGTCAAAAAATAACACAGAAATTTTTATGGAAATTCCATATATACAGCACAAGATGAGAATGGTGAGGCTACAAATTGAACATTGGTACATTTTCTCTAAATGGTTTCAAACCAGCAAGGGCCATTAGCATTATAGTAAGTTTGGCATGATGTAATATATTTTTACAAAACATCCCTGAACCCAAGAGTCTAAGCATAAACTTATAACAGGTGTTGATGATGCAATGGTGGGAGCACATGCCTTTCATTTCTGCAATCAGGATCAATCCCTGGAATAGTCACACACTCACACTCACATGCTTTCTGCATGTTGACTCCAACAAACATCACAGGTTCAACCACTGGCCCATTACTCCAGTTTTCAAAGTCTACTACTATAGCATTGGACCAATAGATGGCAGGGCAGGGGGTTAGAAGGATACCAAAATATCCAGTATTTGTTCATTAGATACCAATATACTCAAAGTTGGGGGAGATACCCAAGTACCCAAAATTAAAGCCTTCAATTGATAAGATACGAAATACGGAATACCTCATATTAATTAACTGTCCTCATACTGTAATACCTCAAACAAAACACCCAAGATACCAATATACCCAAAGCACCTCACCGATGTAACAGGCAATATGGCCTCCCCATCTGGAAATCCCCCCACTCCCACCCCCAACTTATATAAAGGCAAAATATATTTTGGAGATATTTGGTATAAAATAATTAAATCTTAGTAAAATGGGACTAATTAAAACAATTTTGCTGGTTATTAAAATAATTTTTTCAACCTTGGTAGAAACAGAGTAAGCTTTAAAACGGAATACTGTAATGTATATACAGAATGTCTATCCAGTGTTTATGTTTTCTCAAGATGAACTAAGACAGCATTAAAATTGTCGATCGCTTTGAAAACAATGTGATCCAAAACAGGTTTTACAGTACATGTGTGCTGAGCATGTTAACAATCAATATATTCTGACTCACAGCAATCATACAGTGTTATAATGAATGAATATCAAACACTTATGATTTATTAAACTGTCAAAACACTAACAGAATCTTTATTTAAGTCATCATTTGTCATTGGGCAGCTTTTGTGTTTTAGTTAAAGCAGAATGCTTTTGCAAGTTCCTAATTCTGTTGTAGTAGCTAGAGTTCATTTCATGTTGAATAGCTTTTGTACTTTTTTATGTGAAAATGCTGTTGTTGTTCTGCAGTTCATTTAGTATTGAGCAGCAGCAGCTTTTGCACTTTTGGGTTTTTTTGTGGCCAAGTTTGTAAAACTATTTTTGTTGATGCTTTTCTTCTTCTCAGTGTGTCATCAATTTTATTTTAAACTAAACTTGTAAACTCGTTTTTGAATCAGCTTCTTTCAGATATATTTGCAACCTCTTTTTGTCATTCCTGTACAGTACATGTTTTTTACTGTTTTAACTTCTTTCTTGAAACTACTTTTGTTGAACATGACACTGTTGATCTTTTTCTGATTGATCAAACTTTGGCACTTTTTGTAGACTAAATCAGTAATTTGTAATCTCGATATTTGAAGCACCTTGTTTTGGAAATGTTAATTTCAGATTTAGGAAAGATGAGATTATAATATAGATTTATTATGTCCCTGACGTATTCTCCAATCCAAAATTAATTAAATTTAGCAAGTACACAGCCACTAAATTTTACCCTTGTTTCATGTAAAGTTTAGGTAACCATGAGCCATCGCCCAGGGGCGTGGCCAATTTAGGGGGTATTTAGAGGGGGGGATTTAGGGGAAGGGGCAAATTTTCTGGGACACCAGGCATGTCCATTATGCAGTCTGCCATGATTTAATTTCTGCATGGTCTTTAAAACATTGCAATTTAATTGAACAAGAATTAAGAGCATTAACTATATTATGTAATAATAATTGGCCACTGTCCAATTGCGTAACACTCCCGCCATTGTAGTTTGGTCAGCGCTATTACTGCTATATATTCTGATACTGTATGTCTGCGTCTGAGTGTATAATATGCCCAGAAAAATGAACAAGTCAAAAAAAATAATATTTAATTGCTTACCTCTATTAAATCATCGACATAAAACTCGCATCGTATGTTTGCTTGTGACGGTAAGCGCACTTCAGAGAATGCCACTCGCACTGGATTACTCCAACTGCAAATACAAAAATATTTCAGTATTGAGCAATTCGCAATTCCAACACAATGTAACGAACGAACACCACGTTTGTAAAATCAGGCTTTAAACGATTTAATAAAGCAAAATCATAGCTAAATATAAAAGAGTTAGGTTGTAAAACGTAGTACTATGTCTATTTTGAAAACAAGATCAGACATACTCATCGTCACGGGCAATGCTCACTTCTTCTGTATGTATATTCTTTACATATGCCTGGAAGAAAACATCTAAATATCACTTTATTTCACAGAAATTAATCAGTTCTTGTACTCAATAACAAATTACCTTGTAATACCCTCCACTCTGAGATCTCACTTCTACTGCGAGTTCCTCCATATTGACATTGTGCAACATTCGAAATGGTAAAAATTTGTGTATACTTTTATTGCGGCTGTTTACTGACTAAACGCTCGCTGGCTCAATACAATGATTGGTATAATTACGTCACAACTACACTGTTTACAACTTAGGACCACCTTAAATGGAAAGGATTTCAAGTTTTTTTTCTCATGGACTATGCACAGTAGCCTGCGTCACATACTTCAAAACACATAAAAAAAAACTTCAAAACACATGTTTTTATGTGTTTTGAAGCATGCGACGCAGGCTAATGCACTGAGAAGCAGAACATCCTTCTTCAACACATGCATGAATTTTGACCAATAAATATGGAAATAAGCTTTAACAAGAAGACGAGGTTCCAGGTCATGCCTCGTTTTCGTGTTAATGCTTATTTCCATATTTATTGTCAAAATCCAAAATTTTTTGCGCATGTGTTCAAGAAGGATGTTCTCCTAAGTTGAATACAGTGTAGTTGTGACGTAATTATCGAAAGGTTGTATTGCGAGTTGCGAGTTCATTGCAAGTTGCAAATTGCGAGTTGCGCATGCAGATTGAGTGTAAAGTATTTGAAGACTGACTCACTAGCTCAGCCGTTCCTACACATTGATAACGTTCCTTTTACTGAAAGCACCAAGGCTGTCGGAAGCGGGGGGGGGCTGGGTTTGAGTCCCCTCCCCCCGTCCCCCAATAATTTCCATTTGTATAAGCAAAACACACAAAAGAACTAGGAAAGTGCGAAAGCAATTCAGGTTTATCAGATTTATTCTTGAGCCCCCACCTCCAATATTGCATGACCTGCACCAGAGAATAATACTGTATAGTAACTCCGTGGCGGGTATTTTTATAAAGAGCTATGGCCGAGATGCAGGAGAAGTCAAAAGTCAATTTGTTTTAAAGTTGGCTACACAATCAGCTGATCCTTTTTACCCGAAATTTTCTGTTTTCTTTTCAAACTTCGGAACTGTATACAGCTATTTCAATTAAGGTTGTCCCCCGAGCAAAGCGGAAAAGTCGAATACTAGCGCGAAAGGATGCTGGGAATCGCTAATAAAGCGGAAAAGTCGAATACATTTATTAGCGATTCCCAGCAGCCTTTCGCGCTCGTATTCGACTTTTCCGCTTTGCTCGGGGGACAACCTTAATTGAAATAGCTGTATATACGTACGTACTAATCACGTTGAGTTAGTTCAATCTATAGTTCAGTGAACATAACTGAGTTGGGTTGGGGGTTAGAGGGGTGTAATATTGCATTTGCCGACAATATTTCAGTCGCTAATTAATATTTCTTTTCCTTGACCCTTTGTCCGGTCACCCTGTAGTCCCTGACGCCCCAAGCCCCCGCGGGTTATTGTTTTTTCAATTTTTTCAATTCGTTATGATTTCAACTGATTTTTCGACCGCTAGACCAAAACCTGTCCTACAGCTAATACAATGAGTTAATTTTTAGGAATACGATACCCACTCAGCCAATAAGCGCCAAAAAGTTCATTCTCTGTATCCCATTCTCTAGCAGGAATTGCACGTTCGATGTGACACACGATAAATAATTAATGCATGATTAATTAATGTCAATGTTTTCATTCAAATTTCACCATTGAATCAATTTTTTCTTTTACCTCGATTCATTTTCTTTACCTTCGATCTTGTTTGTCTGACTCTTCTAATAATAAATGTAATTTTGTCGTTCTCGTTAATAGTGGTGTTAATACTATGTTGTAGTAGTTTATCTAACTTATTAGCATTGTTATTAAGATACATATGCATTTAAAATCATGCACTTCTTGTTTGTTTCAAGTATAAATGCCATATAATAAACTTTTTATTAACCTCGCTCACCTCGGTCTGTACAGAGAAATGTCGGACCTCGGTCTTTTTGTACAAACTTCGCCCTACTGGCTCGGTCTGTACAATAAAGACCTCGGTCCGATATTTCTCTGTACAGACCTCGCGTTCGGTTAATAAGAAGCTAGTTAATATTATATGAACAGGAATTTGATTGGCTAACATTAATTAGAATTAGCCTTTCTCACGCCGCCATTTTTGGGTGGCATTTCAGTCGAAGTCTGCGAGATAAGTCCACATAACAGCGACTTTTTATAATTTTTTGACAAATTATGGTAAATTTGCTTGGTAAATGGTTAGCTTATTTTGAAAAATAGCCCGCGTGCAGGCCCAAACCCTTGAGCCTGCTCCCTTGGGCCTGCACGCGGGCTATTTGAAAAATTGCTTTTCACATTGTTTTAATTGTCTGCATTGGTTAACGAGAATTGGATGCCACCCAAAAATGGCGGATATTCGTCATCGTTAGAGAGGATAATTGATTAACATTTGAATGCCGGTGTTCTGGAAGACTGGAACAGTGTTTAGTAATAATATAAGCGTGCAACCATGCATTACTATATTCATTAGTTATTCGCATAATAAAGCGTATAATGATTCGCTGTTATTTGTATATCTTATAAGTATGCTTTTGCAACGTTTTTACTCGTTGATTTTGTCCATGCAACCCTGGCGTTTAAATAGTGTATAATAAGTATATGTCGATATATAGCGGTTAATAACCCTTCAAAATAACGCTCTATGCAGTGTGCATTGGATACACGAAACATGTCGCCTCCATTTTCAATCATGATCACGTGAAAATAGGTAGTGTCACGTGTCTGTTCTGGATGCCACTACTCGAAAATGCCACTACACGAAAATCGGGGTAGTCAGAACAGTCATGTGACTGTCTTCTGTTCTATTCCATTAGTGCGGTTCCGAAAATCCGGAGTACTCGATCCGAACAGTAAATGGAGCAGCTTGATGATCGGCTATACAGAGAACAAGGTTTTTGTAAAGATTTTTTATCAGTTTTGTAGTCGACGAAACAACAAGCTAATTTTAATTAAATATACTATGTAATTTACTTAACTCACTTGACTTAGTAATTAAATTTATGAATGTAGTCCCACATTAACAAAACTATATAGTCTATATAGAAATATTAAATCCGCTTTCTACTAACTTCTAGCCGATAAAAGCCGATCATGGATAACGATTTTGTCGATTTATACAGCCAATTGTAAAGCTGAAAAAAATATCCAAAAATTTCAGTTCCGCAATATAATTTATTCAAAAACGCAAACAATGCAGTAATATCTCTGGCAATAAGAATAACCTAACACATTTTTTAAATATCGATCTAACAAAGACCTCTCAAAATGGCCTTTCTTGCTTTCTTTAATTATTGAACAAAAGTTCCATCATATTGAAAACAGATAATTTCCATTACATCGATCAACAGCTACGTCACCAATTAAATAGAAACTTTATACACATGTGCATGAATTGAAAATGATATAATTATGCAGTATATAGAATGATGTCTTAGGATATGTGATATGCGGTATGTGTCACTTTCAATATTGAATATATTAGATATATATAGTCCAGTACAAAATACGACGTACACTTTGTTCCCGTTCTCGTTTGGAGTGTGTGGATGTCTCAAGATATTTGAAGGTATTTTATTTGAATAAAAACTACCGCTTCTGACGAATGTTGTAGTTTGTTGTATCTAGTCAGGGCAATGCATAAAATCCATAGGTATAGCAGAATTATCAGTGCACGAAGCATACATGCTTCGGTCTCAGTAAATCATGTTTGCTTTGGGCTTGCTTTGTATAGATTAGATTTATTTCAGAGGCAGAGCGTCTTTTTCTTTAGCTTCAGAGCTCAGGCTACTGCCATGCCCTGGTTAAATCACATGAGTCATGATTATTCCAACTGAATCTTATTATTCTATGCTCATAGCTCATTCATAAACTGAATCATTTGTTCTAGAATGCAGAGAGAGTATTATTTATCTCATCTTTTATGTCAAGAAAATTGTTTTCCATGGACTTCTTGCCTGTGAGCCTAGCATGATCATGTATAGCCATGTAGGATATTCTTTGCAAAACGATTGATTTAAAGAGCTATATTATACTGGTAAATGTGCAAACACTTGCTAATACCTGCACGAAGGCCGAAGCGATTTAAATTACATTTGATCCTTATCATTCCATATCAAATATTTCATTCCCATTTTACTCTTTGTGCTTTGACTGACAACCTTTGAACGCACGTTGCGTAAAGTTAAACTCTTAACATTTTGTCGTAAACATGGCGGACTTCACTTGGGTGGTGCACGGTCTAGCAATTCACTGATTGCTTGTATTATAATATAACCGACTATACCAGTAACAATATATTTACAACCATGAAAATGCCATGAAAGACTGAATTAAAAGATAATCTAAATTTACGATGCCGGAAATAAAATTTTTCTTTTTTTTTTTGATGAAATATAATTTGATGAATTATAATTTTTCTCGTGAGAAAATTCAATTTCAACTTTGAAATTCAATTTCAATTTTCGATTTTAATTCTTGGGTTTCAATCACGTGATGTTTTAGCATGATTTGACTCAAGAGGAGGGGTGGGGTCAATCATTGAATTCTCCGACTATTATAAAAGCCAAAATAAGACACAAACCATGATTACCTCCTTTATCCTTGACACAGACCTTTATCCCCACGTGACGTTATATGAAACTCGAGAATTCTAGGAACGCAAAAATCAGTTAAAGATTAAGATTTGCGTGACTCGTCCCAAAACTGTCACGAGTTGAATTACATTTTTTACAATTACAATTTTATTAAAACAAAATATAAAAAATGAAACACAGAAAGAAATATTAAATAACCCACCCGCATTTAGCAAGGCCAAATGATGGGAATGCATCAAGTTTGCGAGGGAATGCATCAAGTTTGCGAGCTTGGTCCTTTGCGTCCCATCCCGCAAGCGTCTGTCTTTTCGAAGCAAATATAATTAATTTGAGGGAGTGGAAGAGTCAGGAAATTTGCAACAATATAAAATAATCTCTAGTTATCTTTTAATTCATTTCGATTTTGCAGAAAATAATTTTCAAACCAAATTACCATAAAAATTGGAGAAAATGGTCAAGTATTTCATCGTTTGTTTCTCCTTGGCGATCATACTGCGATCTATTATTGGAACAGAAGCAAGACAAGGCATTGATGTGTCTCAACCTGCCAGCACAAAGATATTCAGTTGTTTGAAACAAACAGGTTATGATTTCGCTATCGTTCGTGCGTTTCGTAGTTCAGGCATGCCTGATTATAATGCACCTCAAACCATACGCAATGCACGACAGGCAAACTTTGCTACGGTGGAAGCATATATGTTCCCATGTCCAAAATGTGGAAATGCACAAAAACAGGTATGTGTAAGTTTTGAATTATATCATGTTTTGCTCATGAAGAAACATGCCTACCTACAATCGTGGCAAAATTGTTGTGGACAGCCCGTGGAAATAGTGAAATACACGCTTTGCCCTATCACATTCTTGGAAAAACAACATTTAGCATGCACGAAACATAACGATGCAACCGAGCTTTGAAAGTTGCATTTAGCCAGATTATTTCAACGGCAAACCTTAGTCCAACATTGAAGATACGGGAAGTAATGGCGTGCGCAACAAACGAACATGTTTTGAATATAAGCTGTAGGTTTTCTATAACATGACAATATTTGGTCCGTTGACTCCATTGTGGTGCTCGCGGACAGGCAATAAATGTTCAATTAAGGCCATTTTCCATTGCAGTCGCTTTGCCCGCCACGTGAAAAATCAGTCGCGCGGGCACGCCATGAAAGTTGCCATGCAGGGTAGTTCAACTTTCATGGCGTGTCCGCGAGCAGTCAGGCGGGCAAAAAATGCACAGGTTAGACAACTACTGAGAAAGTTGAGTAATATTCGCTCCGCCAGCGCGGGCAAAGCGACTGCAATGGAAATCGGCCTTTACGTCATTCAACTTTCTTGGCGTGTCTGCGCGAATGACTTTGAACGTGATTTGCACATTCCGTATTTCTCTATATGTACTGATGGCCTTGAATTATACATGCATGCTGTTTATCCACGGTATTCAAAAAATTACAGTCCCCAAAAGAACTTAGCCGTCGCTTTAATATTCGGTTTGTTAGCTTGTTGGTTTGTTCGGAATCTTAGTAAATCGTCAAAAATAGTGTATCTTCGCGCTTGTGGTGTACTTGTTTAAGCCGCCAACAAGCTCCAGGGCACCGCACTGTAGCTGCACTATGTCTGCTTCTTCATATTTTCTGTTTAATACTTGTACTGATGTGGTGTGTTCATCTACCATGCATGGTCTTGAAGTTTTTTCTTAAATCTTCCTACGTCTTTCCGTGTTCCAATACTAGGTGGATGACATGCTAAGTTTGAATCTGGACGCAGATTGGATCTGGTTGGATATTGAAATTTATAATTGGTATGATGACGTGACAAAGAATCGGAAATTCTTTCAAGAACTTATCAACGCAGATTTTGGGAAGTATGAAATTGGCATCTACACTAGCAAAAATAATTGGTCAACAATCATGGGGTTAGACTACACTGAGGGGTCCCAATACCCTCTGTGGTATGCTCATTATGATAAACAGCCAAACTTTAATGATTTCCAGCCATTTGGTGGATGGAGTGAGCCACTGCAAAAACAGTTTGCTGGAGATCAGACAGTCTGTGGATTTGGTGTAGACCTCAACTACAGGGAACAATCTATGGCCTTCTAGACTTTAAAGTAAATGGTATAGCCATGCAAATCAACATGAAATATATTGGGATTTTGTTTTTGGGATTGGTATCTGGGATTTCTTTTTATAGTCATATAGCTGAACCTATATGGTACTGTAGTTTATAGCACCTAAATTAGACGTAATAAAACATATGGGATTGTTTTACTTTCTATAGCTTTTTGATTATATAATAATATAGAATGTGTATTTGATTTAATTAATAGAATGTGTATTTGATTTGATTAAACTCATCAAGAATTTAAAATAGTTTTATTAAAGCGTAGTTTCATACAGTACATTTGAAACACGAGAACTTAGGACACCTCTACATTCTCTCGATATCTCGCTTTGAAAAAAACTCACATCATATAGTATATGGATATTTCTATTACTCCTAAATTGTCTCTCCAGACAACGCCGACAGCAACAGCAGCAACAACAACAACAACAACAACAACAACAACAACAACAACAACAACAACAACAACAACAACAACAACAACAACAACAACAACAACAACAACAACAACAACAACAACAACAACAACAACAACA